TAGCGCCACAAAAGAACCTAATGTATCAAATTAACGGATTCAAATAGCGAGGTCTGGACCTGCTCAATTAGCCTGTCTCCAGAAGCGGCCTGCTGCCTGCACACAGAAGAGCAGGAGCGCTCCCGATAAGGTCTCCTGAGCTCTGCCTGCAATTACAGCTGAGCCCTGATGAATAATGTAAAACCCACTTCTCTCCAGCACACCAGGAAACGTGGGCCTGCACCGACAGCCATTACTACGCTCCACTGGACTCCCATGCAGACTCGCCCCTTTGTTCTACACCAGCACTTAAGATAAGGAGAGTTTGAACTGCACCCTCCCTTACTCTGAAGCAGCAGAATTACTAGTGTGAGGAAGACGGGGGACATTTGCACACTCTGAAACTGTACGACTGCAGCATCAGGCTCAAGCATTACTTGTGGACCAGGAGGAAGTTCATTATGCAGTTAGTGTATGAAGGATGATATGTGAGCCTGGCCAGGCTGTGCTGTTTCACGGTCTGCTATTAATTATGTTGCCTGTGAGCCAGCAGGAAGGCCACAGAGATCATAAACAATGTTCTACATTGTTGGTGATGTATCCTTTACAAATAAAAGGCAGAATATTATTATAAAAAACCTTGGCACTAGTAACAGTGCATAAATGCAGTAAAACTGCAGTATTCAATAAAAGCTGCTGTAACCTCTCCCCATTAGAGACTAAGGGTGGAGTGCCTAGAAAATGATAAACTGCATGAAATGCTCTCTCTCTCACTTGTATTTTATTGGTCTTGTATGACTGATCAAATGAAATCCAATAGATTCTAACTCTTTTAAAACTAATATACATGTACTAATGGTGAGTTATCCTAGGAACAATATTCATTTATAACAAAGGTCTGTCCAAATATGTTTACAAGGGATACTAGCTTTGCACCATGTCAATACTTCACAGAAGACATTACAGGATAAAACCCCCAAAAAGGAGAGGGCAGCTTGGCCATATAAAAAGATTTTTAAAAAGTGATCAATCTTGACCACTTGCCTTGGTCTCTAAACTCTGGGTGCACAACTCCAGTCCTTGAGGGGACTCATGTTTTCTGGGTCTCATTAAATGAACAACAGTTGAAGACCTTTGAAAATCATTAAACTAGTCTAATCAAAATAATGTGTAGCCCAATGGATCCAAAACCTGCAGACACTGGGGCCTAGGACTCCACTGGTGAAGTGTGTTATTTGCAGTGGGATAGAGCAAATAACCAAAAATGGTTCCCAAAAGAGATTCTTCAAAACTTGACTTTGTGAAAGAGGAAGCTCGGTAACGCTACAATTAAGAAATTATGAAAACGCAAATAATAAACTATAAATGATAAACTAATGAAAAACTAAGTTTGGTGCTGGAAGAGGTGTTAATGGGGCCAGCAGGGGGCGCTCACCCTGTGCTCCATGTGGGTCCTAATGCCCAAATATAGTGACGGGGACACTATACTATAAACAGGCGCAGTCCTTCGGATGAGACGTAAAACTGAGGTCCTGACTCTCTGTGGTCATTAAAAATCCCAGGGCGTTTCGCGAAAAGAGTAGGATTGTAACCCTGGCGTCCTGGACAAATTTCCCATTGGTCTTTACCAATCATGGCCTCCTAATAATCCCCATCTTTGAACGGGCTTCATTAATCTATTCTCCTCCCCACTGATAGCTCATGTGTGGTGAGCATTCTGGCGCACTATGGCTGCCGTCGCATCATCCAGGTGGATGCCGCACATTGGTGGTGGTGGAGGGGAGTCCCCATTACCTGTAAAGCGCTTTGAGTGGAGTATCCAGAAAAGGGCTATATAAGTGTAAGCAAATATTATTATTATGATTCCTATAAGAGTCATAGAATACACAGCTACAGTTTGGAAAGGAAGGAAGTGCATCTTATCACACAAAGCAGAAAGAATTCTGCATTATGAGACTAATGCAATTTATCATCTGCTGTGAGACACTGCAAGGCTGCTTTTGAATATCAAAATGCCTTGGCCTTGTTTGGTTAACAAAGAGCAGCTTAAATCACAAAATGTTCTTTGTTAAATAAAAATACATTCAATTTGAATGATAAACCCACCTGGAACACTTTTACTCAACGTGTGCCCAGTGACTTTGAACAGTAAATATTTTTTTTTAACTTAAACTAAAGAGACTGACAGCCAGATTATGTCCTATAAAACCAGGCTAAAATAAGTACTAGAGACAAAACGTGAGGACAATATAAACAGAAAAACAAATTTGGAAAACATCACTGCTTCAGATAAAATGAGCCCATACTTTTGTCTAGAAAGCAATCTAACAGTTTGTATCAATAAAATAAACGATTGCGAGTAAATAAAAGCTGAAAAACCTCTGAGGCCCCTGTCTTATATGTTCCCGAAGAAGATTAAATGCTCTATCAGGGCTCCTGTAGCTCTTGTACATAATGAATTCATATGATCTGCTTCCACGTCTGCAAGCTGCTCTGTGATTCAGCAGTCCTCACTGTAAGAAAGACAGGCCTTAGGCCAGAGCCTGTTTGAAACCCTTGCTGAATACAACACAGATATTGACAGGCTGTGTTTGGAGACTGCCCCTGTTCTGACAGAAGATTAAATATTTCTCATAAAGGCTTTAAAAAAATGCTGGAGTTCTTATCTGGGTTTGTTACACCATTTCTTCACGTCTCTATCCTTTTAGAAAATGAATCTTCAGGACAAGGATAAGCTCTAACTGTAATTTTATTTTTACTTGAAGAAAGGGAATATAGAAGCCAAATAGATATAAACACCAGAGCACACTGGTGCATGTATATCAAACATTTTTGAAAATGTATACCAAATGCCCAGTGTTACTAACCCAAAAGAAACTGTCCAATACACATTTTCCATTCTAAGGCTTTATAAAAAAGACAGATACATATTCAGCCTTGCTAAATTTGCTATGATCAGTGAGACAAGAAATGTCTGCGTCTGTTAATGAAAGCTGCTCTTGATCCCCCAGGATGTGTGCGACACCTGTAGAGTCCTTCCCACTGAATTATTTAACATCCCTCTCAGTCAGGAGTACAACTCTGAGAATTCACTGCATTCCATAGACAGTCGAAAGCAAAACTTGAACAGAAGGACTTCTTCTGAGTTGTGCTTGATAGTCTTTAGAGGATCTTTTGATCAATTTCCTAGACAAACTATGTATGTGGAGTCTGTATGTCATTTTTCCTTGTGTAATGTGTAATGTGCACCACATTCCCTAAGCAAAACCACAATTTTGAAAAGGACATGTTAAACTAATGGATCACAGACATGGTGGAGAGTAAATTAGCAGCACACACCATTGTAAAGTGCATCAGAGAGTCACGTGTAACACTCAAAGTAGGGACATCTTTTTTTCTACTTACTTTTTGCTAAATATCTCCATCAAAGAAGATGTGCAAAAGCCCAGTTTGTCAACATGGAATAAGCAAGAATGTACTGTATGCACAACAATACCAGAGGTTATCAATGCATAAATCAATGCACCACACGATAAGGAGCAAGAAAAAAAACACATAGCAGGGCAGACCACCACTCAATGGTACAACAGCCCGTTTCCAATCTGATCCCATCTGTTCCAGTTGTTCTCTCCCCTCTCCAGTCTCAGCTGGCCTGAATAACAGCCCTTCAGCTGTGTAGATGCTGCTTTCCTAATTTACCTGCTTATAATGAGTTTTCACAAGCTGCTATCAAATATCCCAACACTGCAAGACAGGCACTATTTGCAATCCATAAATTGATTCTGTCATACACAGGGGCAGGAGCAAGCTCTGCTATTGTGTAGGGAGTTTTGATATTCAGTATATCCCTGTTATGTTTATGCCTTATTCCTACACATAACACTTCACATGAGAGCCACTGCTTACATTATCATTTACTATAGTAATTCTCTACTTCAGCAAAAGAATGCCCTCTGGGAAGATGTGTAATAGCTGTTGGGAAACATGCAGTCACCAGAAAGAAGTAAAGAAGAAAGTACAACTTTCATTAAAACAATGTTACACACTATTTCATTATTAAGTATAAAAGTACACAACTTTTCAACATTTCTTTCAAACCTATCTTTCTGATGTGAAGTATCAGTTACAGGGGAATCAGCATAAGTAAACAGGGAGTATGACAATTAAATCTGTAGCTTAAAGCTGTAATTGCTAAATAAGCCATGATTTCAAATGAAGGATGCTGACCTTAATGCCTACGATTGCAGAAATGTGGTCCAGAACCTCTTATCCCTAGGTGACAAGTTTTCCTACACAATTTCCAACTTTCTTTCCCAAAATGCCTTTTTTATAAATATTTTGCTCAAACAGGGACAACAGGGCTAGGCAACACGGGACTGTACTGATGACAGTAAATAAAGCCACATGCTAGGGTATAAAAAGTGTGAGCTAAAAAGCATGAGAAATAGCATGAAAGGCTGGGCAATTTCACGATTTGGTTTCCTACAAGGCTTTTGTCTTTGTTTTTCCTCCAATATTTACAGGACCAGGTACATCTTTAGAAGTAAAATCTAAATGCGATTAAGTGCTTTTTTTAAACCTTTTTTCTCCCAACCTCAGAAGTTAATTCATATAACTGTCAAAAAACAAAACATTGACAGCGCTTTGCTGTTAACTGAGCTCAAGTGGTAACAAGTGTTGAATGCATACACTTGTGGTTATGCTTCTCTGGAGCAATTGCACACAAGGTTATTAGTGCTTATAATTTTGTAGCAAAATGGGGATGAAAAAACGATACTCAATTTAGGAACTCGGTACATTTTCACTCTCCCTGTCTAATAAACATTACATTAATGTACTTATTCTGATAATCACATAAAACATTCACAACTACCACCAACATATTGAGCAATAACGTGATAACTTTAAGGGCTTTTAAACAAAATGTCTTTAACTCTGGGGAAATGGGCCTTTCAATCACACAGAATTAACACTTGCTTAGTGTAAAGTGACAGCATGTCTCCCGGGGACTGACGGCATACCTGGCAGCCTGGGTTCAGCTCCATTTTCCTCCTGATGAAGAGCTCCACGTGGCGGACTGTGGCCTCTCCAGACACCCGCACATACTTCCTCTCGAGGGGCTGCACATTAAAAGCATGGCATAAGTAGTCAACACCAGTTCTTCACTACAGCACTGCATATAATGGAATAGCACAGGGCTGCTTTTATTAAAGGTCTCACACTATAGTTGAGCAGCAATTACACCCCTGCTTGTGGCCCCCAAAGTGAGAAGAAAATGGTGCAAATTCCTGAGAAAGTACCAACTATAGACATTGGTACAATGTCTTATCCCTAAACAGGTGAACATTTCATGAACCAGCCTTTAAAGATACAAGACAAACCAGATTTTTTTTCACTTTAAGAAACTAACAGCAAGTGAAAAGCAGAAACATCTATTCACGTCTGCCACAGTGGCAGATTTGAAAGAATTCTGATTAGGATGGCACTATCTTCCTGAGTTAAACAAAAACTGGACAGCTCTGAATCACACTGAACATGAAGCAAAACTCATTATAGAAAAATACTCATCTTTATTCAATACTGAGGCAAAAGTTATACATTATAAATATGGAAGTCTCCTTGCCGAGTTATAGATGGAACCAAGCCTCGGAAACACTGGCCTCAGCTGCTGCCATCGGCGTGGTTACTATCTTGTTGTAGGATCAGTAAGGGGAACTGACAGCTCTGCTGCTTTCTTAATTCTGCCTCTTCCTACACTCATTACTTCTTCTAACAGCCCAAATTAAAAATGGCAGTTCCAAGGGGACAGGATATGCCTCAACTTGTTTCTCCAACCTACTCTTTCCTCACTAAAATGGCTAGAGGTGCTCAATCTTTATTTACAGCTCAGCACACTAATCTGCAAGTGCAATCTGGTCCGTCTCATCGAATGAGAACGTTGGCGAGTTCGATACCAAAGGCTGCTCCTATGAAGATGTGAAAATCTTAGTTGATTTAGCCCATCTGACCAAACATAAATCAAAAAGTAAACATAACACACAACAATAATATTATATACAGTACACTGAGCATCATGAAAGGGAAATTTAGGGATTGAGCCAAGATGAGCAAGAGGAAAGGATCAAAGTTTACAGCCACATAGAATTTAGAATTTACCAATGGGATTCAGTGTAAGCTGCAGCTCTAATTTGGTTTCCACTAAAACACCTTGTGCATGACCTACAGTAATTCATTCAATAAACTACTTTTGCTTGAACTGTTCAGCTTAGCGACAATATAATCATGAACTGAATGTATTGCTTCAAAGACGTGAAAATCAATTGGTATTTAAAAACTGTCTTTTTAACAGAACATAACTGCTGGACAGCACAGAAATGCTGACAAATGCAAACAGACGTCATGCCTGAACAGGCTGGATCTGTCTTTCTGAGTGCCAGAGTGTGTTCTCTACCCTGGCAGCAAACACAATAACAAATTTTCACTGCACACTGCAACACACTAGTCCAATACACGGGTACACGAGTCACAAAGAAGGACAAAACTGAATTGTCGTGAAGGCCCTGTTTTTTTAACATGATAATGATCCTTAACATAATGACAGTTCACACAAAAACCACCAGGTCAAAATGCACATGTGTCTTTAAAGTCAGAAACTGCTTTTCAACTTTCAAGTTATGCGTGAAGAAATTAACAGTTTGGTATAAAACAGGTTCTTTACCTTGTAGTTATCAATGCCCTCCTCCGCTCTGAAAAACAGAAGTAAAATCTGTTAAAAGAAGTAAAGTATTATGAAATCTAATCCACTTAATACTTATGGAGTACCATAATTATTACCAAGAATCTACCAATTTTATCACAGGGAATAGCATATTATCTTTTGTTATCAAAATAAAAATAGATCATTAGGTTTACATTGTTTTAAACAGGGACCAATGTCATTAAAGGCAAAAAAAAAAATCTTAAATAAATTTGGACATGTTTTGTACTTAAAATGAAAAATGAAATGTTCAGACATACTACATGTAAGAGAATGCTTCTCTCAAGACTGTTTAATGCCTATGAATAAAATCAAGACTCTTAATTCCTGACTACTGCAAAATGGTTCTCATATTTTTATGCTTCTCTGTAAAAAGTCAACTGAATATTACCCTCTTTACATTCAGATGAACTCCATCCCAAATACTATATATCCACACCTTCGGGAGGAGTGTCAAGTGACAGTAAACAAGTTTGCATCACATGTATTTCAGCACGCCCTCCACAGTCACACAGACACTAGCACAGGGGAGCTGCTGTCTTGCTTTTGTCTTTGTGTTGCTCGCTATACTCAAGATGTGCAAGTTAACAGCACTAGAATTCTGTCCTTCCACCAGCTTTTAGCCTTCCTTCAGAAAAACTGAAGCATTGTGAAATGCTGACATTAGTGGTTTGACTACGGCAAATACTGAACCAATTAGGGGAATTATAGGAATTCACAGAAAGCAAAAACCATAAAAGGGAAATAAATTAAGAATTTTAATTCCTGAAATAAGACGTTAGTAAAAATTGCAGTCTTTGGGTGCTAATATCTAAACAATGATACCATTTTAATAATATTTTAATTGTATTTTTATCTCAAATCTCAGAGTGCTTCATATAGAGGTGGGAACCCCTTTCATTCACGACTAAAGCACAGTGCCCACACGGGTAACACAGCATCCATTCCGCCCAACAGATGAGGAGGGAGGGCCTACTTCATCAACTGAGTTGAGTTAGAAATTGAGGCAGGCCCATTGTGTATTCCTAAACCTGAATTTAACCAAGACATCGGGATTAAAACCCTTACTATCTCAAAGAGTAACATGGGATCTTTAATAGTTTAAAGACTAATCCTAATGATGGCACCTCCTACAGCACAGTGTCTGTCTCCATATATGGGCAATGGTTTGGACATTGTAGTCCAGAGAGACGACTGCTACCTACTGAACCATGAATGCCTCACAGTAGTTACCTGGTTTTCCTCACAATCTTACTCTAGCTGTTATGATGTTCAATTTTACTTAGCTTCTTAAATCTGACAAGAGCAAACTAGGTGGTAATATTGCTATGAAATCTTTTTTTTCTTGGTTACAGTAACTTTTCTTTCCATTATATGGAAAATTAAAAACTTGCCTTGCCTCCAGGTGTTTTTAATATTATGGGCAGATGCTCACCCTTGCCCTAATTAACCAGACTTATTGTTGTCAGACACATATCTATAATTAGAATCTGTTGAGTTCTTCAGTCAATTGATTTTAGATAAGTGATCTTCAGTCTATTCTCGGACACATCAAAGACCCTCTAGTAAAATAACAGAGAAGAAATATAAATTATCTGAAAGACCCCTTGAGAAAATAAACTGTTTTTAGCTGACATTACGAAAATTGGAATTGAATTTGGCTATTAAGAATAGAATGGCTATCTATTTCATTACAAAAACATCAGGCTTACAAATACAAGTGGACAACTGCACAACGCTTGAAGGATTTCTCTTGAATGCTTGAAGGTTATCACGTGTCCTGTGAAACAAAAGTTCCATACAAACTTAGGACACTGTATCTACATTGTAATTCATCTCCATTTAGCAACCCTTCAACACCTACCTAATGTCAACTCAAACTGAGTGTTCAGGTTTTCTAAAGTTTTTACTCCCCCAAAATAGAGTTTCCTGTCTTGTAAGTGCAGTTTCTTGATAGTGCAGTTGATTTTCTGTCATTCACGTGGGTGGTTTGGACCCGTGTGCTGTATTCATGAATGGCACAATGAGGTGAACTTGCTCCATCATTGCAGCTTGCATATTACAAGTCTCCCTCAAACAACAACTAGATTTTAATCAACACTGTAAACGGGTTAAGTGCTTTGCTTTCCATTTTAAAGTTTGAAGAGCTGTTTGCAACCCCAAATGGAAAAACCTCAAGCAGACCTCACCTTCATGGATAATGCGACAAAAAACCATTTGAAACACTGATCGATGCAACAGCATCGATTTCTCCATGTAATATGTGGTCACAAGAAATATTAGGCTATTGCATGAGAAGGTTCAGGTGGGTAGCTGCGTCAGCATGGGTAGGCTAAGAAGGAATAAGTAATAGGTTTATTCCATGCTGAAAAGAGAAGAAAGAAAACACGTTTCGGCCGTGGAGCCTTCTTCAGCCGAACACCTGAAGAAGGCTCCATGGTCGAAAAGTTGCGTTTTTTTTCCTCTCTTTTCAGTATTGCATGAGAAGCTTATTACACAACTACAAAAAGGTAATTCGCTCAGATTTATCTGAATTTTCATTTAACCTGTGGTCATTTATCCAATGCCTAAAACAATGTTCAATAAGTCATGAAGAAAGAGCTAAAGAGTAAAGCTGTTTAAACAGCATCCACAAGACATTCTACATGAATTCTGTTTGGTTTTAATTACTTATTCTGACGCTCAAAATATGGTACACGTTAGCTGCTCACTACCAGAAAGAGATAAACCCATCAATATTTCACAGCATGCTCAATCCACCAGAGCAAAGGAGAAACTCAATCAATGCCCCTCCCTCAAGTCAATGGTAGAACTCTGCCAGATAAAAGCCTCATTTCCATAATCCCCCCCACTGATCACATTAGCATTACACTTGAAAACCTGAAAAAACATCCACATCCACATTAAGACTGTTAACCTGAACAAAGCGTCCTTTACCTTAATTAAAGGTACTGAAAATATGATTAAATTGCAAACCATTAATTCCACCCACCACTTACATTTTACCAAAACCAGGAGGCCAGGAGGGTTTTTAATTAATACAATTCTCCTGACCAAATTCATTTTACTTTGGAGACGGTGCTCCTGCATTTGAATTAAAACGGCTGTTGCACTACCTTTTGGCTTCTGGAAAAGACTAACCTAACTACAGGTGTAGAGCCTTCTATTTCAGAGAAGGTGAGATCTTTAAAGATGAGCCTAAAACAAGAGAGAGATCTAGTTATTAACTTCTCTTTGAAAATTATAGCTGGCACTGATAAATGCACTGAAATTATAATTGGTTGTGGGGATACACAGGTCTTCAACAGTTAAAAATTTTCAGATGATATGTTTTATCTTCAGTGTTAATTTACTTAATTGTCTTGGGTGTTTCTTTATTTAGCATTGAAGACTAGTTATTAAACTATAGGCCTAGACATTCAGTAGAACACAAGTAATTATTTTGAAATCTCTGACTGTTGTCCATCATCTGTGTCTTGTAAAAATACCATTTTACCAACAATCACTTTTTGTATTTACTAAAGTAAAAGTAAACCCACTGAAAAAGGTTTTACCTTAACATAACACTGAAAATCTAAGATCTCAAAGCCCTTATCAAGTACCAGCTAATGGCTCACATTAAAGAATGTAGTCATAAATATAGAAGCTTTCTTGTGTTAAACCAGCTTCCTTGTAACTATTAATAAATACCAAAATGGCCTTGCTTACAACAGTAAATCAATTCAGTAAAGAGGAAAAAATGTAGAGATTCCATAAATTGCACATAGCACCTGGATACACAAAATACATTTAGAAAAATCCAGGGGACTCTGAGGACACCTGCCCTGAAATCATTCCAATGCAACATTTGTTTTCCTAATCCCCTGTTTTAAAAATAAGTCAACACAGACACCCGAACACTCAAGGGCTTCACAGTATCCTTCCTTTACAGATTGACTACAGTTTCATTAACAACATTTACTCTCCAATGATATTACTGGACCGATAATCATGGGTTAATATTTGCAGACAGCAATAACAGAAATGCTAACAAAACCAAAATAAAGTACGAACAAAACCGATTTCCTGAATCCAGAAAAAAACAATCCACTGTGGAAAAAAAAATGTGGCAAGGAAAAACAGGACTGTGAAAGGCTCTGAAGCCAACATGGGACATAATTCAGAATCACAGCATTAAACACTTCTGATGCAAGAAGAAAGGTCTCACAGTGCAAGACAAAGGGAGTGGCTCCGCTGCCTGAAACTGAAAATGTCTGCTGTACTCTAATATTCAACTACAGCATGTACAAAGAGTAAACCGTTTCATTAAAGAGTCTAACACCTACAAAACATAGGACGGCACTTTTAAACATAAGCTGCACAGTCAAAAAATGAATGACTGGCTTGTTTAAACCAGCTGTATGCCACTCTGTGACAGCCCAATCTCAAGGACAATGCAGCGCATGTGTGTCCTTGTGTGTCCGCCAGAGTATGCAAGCCGGTCTGTATGTGTGCAGCTGTACCCACGACAGATTGCACAAGGGTACAGGCCAATGTCTGGATCTAAGGCAGGCAATGTGCAGGGAAATCAGATGATTTCTGTCAGTAAATGTGGAGATGACTTCTAGCAACAAATATAAGCTATTCACCTCTGAATCAATAAAGAATAAACGCTTAATTTTTCAGAATGTTAAGTTGGTATTTAAGACTAAATCGTAATGCATGAGAGTTTTTAACTGCTTAAAAAACAGCTAGCTAAAGTCACTAAGCACAGTGCTGCATTTTCCGTAGGATCTCTGATGCAGAGAATGGGTTTCTCTACAACCTATGCACACAGTTTTTGTAATAGTGAACAATTTAGGTTTATAGGACGAATGCACCACCTACTGGGGAACTTGTTTTTCAACTAAATGTTGACCTTCATGACTATATAAACACAAATGAAGAACATAATTCTATCAAAAAAGACATCTTAAATAAAGAATAATGATGAAGGAGGCAATTCAAAATTCTAAGATTATAGGTCACTGCATTTACTATAGAATCATATAAAATATATTACTTTAATCCAAAGGCACCACTCTCAGAGGACTTAATGTTTCTTGTTTTTTGCCAATCTGAGTATCCAGTTAAAACAATAAAAGCATTTATCAAGATATCCATAGGACTTAAAGATGTCAAGTATTTTACAAGTGATTAATCAAAATATTAAATAAAAATACTTTAAAGTACATCATCTGTGAACATCTTGGAGCCTGGTTATAAGTATGGCAACTAGGCAGTTAGACCAAATATATAACAGATCTCAGTTACAACAAAAACAGGGAGACCCCTGATTTAAATCAACTAGAATATATATATATACTAGGAATCTACAGTTCAGCTTGGTACAGTGGAATAATCCATTTGCACTGTTGTGTCCAAGCTCTTGATTTTGGGTTGGTTTCTGGACTGAGGTGCTTTCTGCATGGAGTTTACACGTTCTCCTCAGGTTTGCAGGGGTTTTATGTGGGTGCCCCAGTTTCCTGTAACCTTCTTTTTGGATGCAGGGCAAGTTAAATAACACTGCCAGAGTGTTTGTGCCAGAAATGGAACTATGTTGTGTCCCTGATGTAGTTGTGCCTTGTATCCTACACCTCCAGAACAGGCTGCGATGCGGCAACCCTCACACTCAAAAGGCTTCTTTCTAATAATGGATGGATTGCATTAAAGGTCATTTGAGAACCAATTGCACAAAGGCACCCATTAATATACAATGTGGGCATGGCAGCAAGAACAGGGATATGGTGGATTCTTGTCAGCAGCTATATCACTCTACAACTCACAACCCACCGGAGCTAAGCAGGTGTGAGCCTGGTCAGTACCTGGAGTACAGACTTCCTGTGAACGCTAATATTACAGGTGGAAGTAGTGTTAGTGGGACCAGTACGGAGTACTCACTCTGCTTTCTGTGTGGGTCCTGATGCCCCAGTATAATGACGGGGACACTATACTGTTAAATAAAGGTGCCATCCTTTGGATGAGATGTAAATTGAGGTCCTGACTCTCCACAGTCATTAAAAAAGCCAAGGGCCCTAGAAGGCACTTTCTAGGAGTGTTAACCCTGGTGTCCTGGACAAACTCCCCCCTGGCCTTTATCAATCACGGGCTCCTAATAATCCCTATCTCTTAATTGGCTTCATCACTCAATTCTCCTCCCCACTGAAAGTTGTGCACTATGGCTGTAGGTGGGTGCTGCACATTTGTGGTGGCAGAGGGGAGTCCCATTACCTGTAAGTGCTTCGAAGGGAGTGTCCAGAAAAGGCTATATATCCTATATAAGGCTATATAGGGAATCAATAAATTATGATTATAATAATAACTATACACATCTGTAACAACAAATAACCAAGACTCCCAGAGAGCTACGTACCCCACAAACTCCAGCAGCAGGGACACATCCAGTTCTGGTGGGATGGTGAACACAGATTGGGGAAGTAGTCCTTTCTTTTGCTTGCTAGTCTTCACAGTGGGCGGGGGAGCAGCTGGAACACAGTGTACGATTCCTAAATCAGATGCTAATCAGAACTTAAGGACATTCTGGAGCTGCCAACTTCAGATCTTTCCAGGACATTTTTTATCTTACTAATGTCTGCAGCTAAGCAACGAACTGTGCACTCTGGGAAAACCAAATACACTTTCACTGTCATAACACGCAACTTTAGTCTGTTACATTTAAAAGCAGAATCCTGGCATGCAATCTACCCATTTAAAAACTCCTTCCTGGTGGGATGTTTTTCCCAGGGGAAGTAAACATACAATATACACCCTTTCAGGGAAGTATGGCAAAGCCTTCAGAAGTGTTTTCAGCAGCTAGGTAAGAATGCAAGTAATCTACACAAAGTCAACAACTGTGAGACAAAGGGCAAAATCACTATGAATTTCAGAAATCAAAATACTTTGAAATGAAAGCCAAACCTAACCTGGCTTTGGCACTTCCAGTCCTCTCTCTTGGTAGAAATCATGCATTCGCTTTCTCTCTCCTGAAAGACAAAAACAGAACGTTACTGATACCCATAATAATAAACCTGATCTGGCCACAAATCAATTCACTTATTCTTCACAGTGCAGTTCACACTATACCTCTAAGGCACCTATAAAAGAGGTTCAATATTCCTATATAAAATCCTACTTCGGTAACACTTACTTTCTTCAAGATGTGGGACCATCTTATACACAATGTCCTGCAGTTGTCTGTCAAGCCTGTAAGCAGATAAGAGGGAAAAATCTGCTTACTTAGCACATACTTGTGGTATGCATAAAACAGGAATGTTTTAAGTACAATTTTGGTTTGTTCAGTTTCTTAAGTACTGGCTATTTGTTTATCACTTTATCCCTATGCTGATTATCAGCAGTGTAAAATAACTCTTCTGGTAAAAAGCAGATTCTGAAAATTCTCAAAGCTGAAGCAATTGAAATACCAAGAAAAAGTTTCTAACTTTGCACCAGGTGTCAGCTCTTTAACAATCTCAGCCTGCCTCCATTCTACATCTCACTATTACTTCTAAGAATTCATATTCAAATAATGAACATAACCTGGTGCCAAAAATGGTTAAGATTAAACTAAAACTTCTGATGGTTTTCCACTTTCATGGAATTTTGTTAAAAAGAACATAATATCAAAAGGAACCAAATTAATGGATTCTAAAAACCTAATGTTCCCATTTAAATTCAATTATAGCTTACTTTTATTTACTTTATGAAAGAAAGAAATTGAATAGACAGGTATAACAATTCTTTCAAGTACAGCATTAGAAATAGTTTTAATGTTTTCATACAGAGTGAATGTGCCGGAATGTTATATTAACTCATTATGAAGCTTTAAACTGAGCACAGCAGGAACTACAAGATTTTATAAAACCATAATGCTGAAGAAGATGCAAATTCAGAGGTTTTACTTTCTAAAGACAGAAAAATACCTGATGTTGTATAATGGTTGAGTCTGATGGACGACAACATTGCAATTTGGACATCTGTTACTGTAGAAGAAGTGCTTCACAATACAGCTTTTACAAACTGTGGAGGGAAATACAACACGTATGAAAATAAGTCACAGCTGTATGAAATGAAATGAGGAAACTGGTGGTTTTATTAACAGAGATTGTACCATAGCTTGGCAAATTGACTTAAAGCCAACAACTGAAATGAACACTTCTTAAGACAAATGTCCAGGATTTCAATGCAAATTTTTCATGGGATCCTTCACAAAAAAAAAGGGCCGGAGGGGACCCCCGCACCAGCGGGGTGCTTGTGACCCAACGGACAAGCCACCTCTTGTTCTGCAACCTCTCGTGTTCCCGTGATGTACAGTACAAACTACCCCGGAACACGTCAGCAGCGCTGATGAAACGTCAAGATGCAAGGCGCTCAGAGAGCAGACTCACACGTGTGCAGGCACTCCGTGATGGTAGTGGCGTCCACGAAATAGCCATTGCAGAGCGTGCAGCGGATGTAGGGGAACACCTCAAAGAGAGGGAAGGTCCGCTGGAAGAGATGTGGCAAGATGGAAACATGGAAATGTGGAAAGGCTTAATAGATTTGAACTGTTTGAAATGGGGAACTGTGTCAGCTTGCCGGCTGCTTTTCCACATGGAAAACGCTGTTCCTTCTGGTTGGAGAAGGCTAAACAGTCAGATTGTTGTTGTTTTTTAAATTATTTTTCCATGTGAAATTAACATGTACTTTAACCTGCCCCTTTAAACACACAATACCCTTTAGACTATGGCTACCATGTTTTATCAGTTTCTTTTTTGGTGAAATGAATATGATATAATGTCCACATTTATTGAACAAGTGATTTGGGGACATGGTCATCACAACTATGAGGCTAGAACTGTGACTTTACTGTATAGGTAATGTGGATCCTGACTGTAAACAGTAATGACAGGAAATGCTGAAAAGTGCTAGGCGAGGCTATTTTTGACAAGAATAACAACAGATTTCCGGAAGACAGTGCATGAGTAAAACAATTGAGGACACCTCATGATTATGCCTGTCCGCCTGTAAAACTTAATGAATTTTTCAATAAAAATACTTACATAAAGGAGCAAAAAAATAATTCAACCATGCAATGTAAACACAAACCCAAAATTCTAAGCTTCTTTTAGTTGCACATTAATTTGTGCAGATTATACTTTAACAAGAATGGTCATTGGGGTGGTGGTGAATTTCCTTTTCGGAAAAGTGGTCATTTAAACAAAAAAAAAATGAAGCGAAATTCAAAATATGAAGAATATATACCTGTGTGTTGTATAAAGTCAAACGTGTGTGCAGAAAGCCAATGTGTATAGACTAAAACCAAAATTCAAGTGGGGAGCTGCGTCAGCATGCACAGGGTGCAAAAGAACAGGTAAAGGTTTATTCCATGCTGAAAGGAAAAGAGAAGAGACACGTCGCTGTGGAGCCTTCTTCAGGTGTCAACTGAAGGCTCCACAGCCGAAACGTTATGTCTCTTTTCAGCATGGAATAAATATTGTATTTGTTCCTCTAAAACCAAAATGCTTTTCATTTCTGTTTCTAACATTAATAGAACAAATGGAAAGTCCAGGAAGGATTATCAATAATTGGTTTATACCTAGTATTTGGGATTTATATTTCAACGTTGTTGTTTTATTTTTGGAGTGTTGTTAGTTTGCACCACACAAATGGAAATGGAAATTTCAATAACAGCACTACTCAGTGAAAGCTTAACAGTCTCTATTGTGGGTATAAATACATACTGGATATAATATTGGGAAAATTATAAATAGGCTGTTTCTCATCTACAGGTGCTAGTTTCTTGGCTGTAAGCGGAGATCTGATAGTCGTATTTGACTTGCGTTTTACTTTACTGGTCTACATTCCCAATAATACAGGCCAGTGGTTTTCAATCCTGATCCCCGAGATACTCTGGTTTTTGGTGTTGCCGAGTTCTTATTCACGATGCAAATTTTTATTGTTTTCGACTTCAACATTTCTTTTTTTACCTCATCCTTATCGTCACTTGAGTCGCCCTCGTCAGCAGCAGATCCGTGCTCGGACTCCTCGTTTTCGTCCTCTTCTTTGCTATTTTCGTTGCTATCAAGACCCTCCTCGCCGGCTTCCAAATCCAACTCGAACCCGGACCCTTGCTCAATTTCGTCGTCCGCACCGGCCTCTTCCACGGCTGTTTTGGCTTCTCCGCCATTGTCTTCTACGCCAAAGACACTCGAGATAGCCTCGCTACTTTCTGCCTCCATGAATCTCTGATTCAACGAGTATCAAAGAAAGTTCATTTATAAATGAACAGAAAACAGTATCAAACAGTGCTTCACTACTCAGAAAAATCTCAAGTACCCTCTTCGCAAAGGTACATGGGTAATGTAGTTATTTTGATCATCTTAACTAGCAAACATGAAATATGAACATAATCTTGACCATGCACAAAAGCATGTTTCCTTTCATTTCCGTTAGATAATATTAACGAAAAATGCAATGGCTGTTCAGATATAATCTTTGTAACTGCAATATTTCGAATTAAACGCTGAATAATACTGCCTGCCGTACATTGTACAGTCCCACAATGCTCAGGTGACGTAAAAATTGCGACCCACCCACTTCCCCACTACTGTCGCAAAGTCGAGTTAGCAAACAGGAAAAGTGGGAAAATGGCGGCTGTTCAAGATGGGCCGATTGAGCCGGAGTCGGAGAAAGAAATCAAAACTGAGATCTTGAACGATGCTGCGGGAAATCTTGCTGCAGCTACTGCTGTTGGAGGGGTGTTGTCTTCACCTCCGGTTTCTGCGGCAGTGGGAACCCCCAAGCCGACCTCTACACCTACAGAAGGCAAAGATCAGCAGACTCTGTTGGCTGTCCTGCAATTCCTCAAGAAGAACAAATTGGTGGAGTCCGCGGAAATTTTGCGCCGGGAGGCCGGGCTGTTGGAAGAATCCGAGGATTCTCAGGGTCCAGATGCCGGAGGAGCAGGATCGGGAGTAGGGCCGAGTGTAGAACCTGACAGCGGGGATGCTACATCTCTTCTTAGCCGAGTTTCCTGTGCTTCTACTCCTAGCGCAACACCAACCCCGATTCCTGCAAAAGGTAAGCTTCAAACAAAGCAACAGCTTACTCAAACGGCATATCGAAAAACACTGCCGATACCGTCCAAGTGTAGGAGTGTTTAAAAAGCCCTTTTTGCAGATGGTTTCTGTAGTGCTCTGATTCATCTGACAAGATGCGTAAAAATAGCATAGCCTGACTACCGACGACTGCAATGAATAAACCATACAGCTACTTCTAAACCATAAAGCAGAGAAGTTTAATTATCTCTACCCTCATCTGGAGTTTGTTCAATTGAAGCTGACAGAGTGATGGTGTTTAAAAGCATGTGTTTGTTTACAGTTACAGTGGCGGCTGGTGGAGGGGACAATCAGCCTGACGTGAGCGTTGTTTTGTCGGCCTACAGCCAGCAGGGGGACCCGGCGCTTTACCAGGTTTACTACAGCGGGCTGAAGAAATTCATCGAGTCCGTGCTGGACTGTCACAGAGCGGAGCTGTCCCAGGTCTTCTACCCTCTGTTCGTGCACATGTACCTGGAACTGGTCTACAACAACCACGAGAATGAGGCCAAGTCGTTCTTTGAAAAGTAATTGTGCACTTTGTCTTCTAATTTGCTTTCCCGGTGTCCTTAACGCTTTAGTTTTGGTTTAATAAAACCTTTATTGCGGAAAGCCAAAGATCAAAGTCGGTTGACAATTTCCAAAACTTCCTATACCACGATTTGCAAAAATAATTTTCCATACAAAAAAATCAGATAACTCCATTGATTTGTGAAACACTTTCTCTGCATATTGTATTTTAGAGACGAAAATAGGTGATTGTGTTTTGGGATTAGGAATGAACACCTAAAAGGAAAGAAACTTTGAAAACAGTAAGCACTGCATTGTCACCATTAGATGTGCTGTACATCTGATGGAGAATGGAGGCAACCTGCAGTGCCTTAAAAATTGTTAGTATGAAGGTTAAGATCTGTTTTGAAATGGTGTTGCACACGTTTTTGTTATTGACGTTTGCGTATGCTCATTTACCGTTTTAAAAGAATTCCTCATCACAAGAGACATTGATAGAGTGCCTTGTTAGAAACTCCACTAAGATGTAGCAGTGGCGCATCTGTATGTTGAGATATTACACTGCTCTTCCCCCTCCTTGCTCAGGTTCCATGGCGATCAGGAGTGTTATTACCGGGACGACTTGCGGGTCCTCTCCGGGCTGACCAAGAAGGAGCACATGAAGGGGAACGAGACGCTGCTGGATTTCCGCACCAGCAAGTTTGTCCTGCGCATCTCCCGGGACTCCTACCAGCTGCTGAAGAGGCACCTTCAGGAGCGCCAGAACAACCAGATCTGGAACATCATCCAGGAGCACCTGTACATCGACATCTTCGATGGCATGCCGCGCAGCAAGAGCCAGATCGACAGCATGTCCGGGAGTCTGGCTGGAGAGGCCCGGAGGGAGGCAAACAAAGCCAAGGTGCCAGGACTCCGTCACTCTTTGTTAGGAACATATCAGCTTCTCACACACAGCTTTGAGGGAGATTAATGCTGCCATGGGAATTTCGATTAGGTAACATGGGCCTCAGCGCGACTCAAGTTCAGCTGTGATGAGTCTCACAGCTTTTCAATTAAGTAGCAGAAAATACCTGTGTTGTCATTGGACAAGATCTGGCCTGGATTTACAAAGAAGTTTTAACGTGCTCCTAATTTTGACCAAACATAAAAAACAATACTGCTTTTGTCAGTCCAATACAACCTCTAAGCTTTTACCTACAGCCTACTCATCGATCCTAGCAATTATGTTTCTTAAGTTATACAAAATCCACAGCTCATAATTTACATAACACTTTTAGAAACCATGCTTTTCATGATTGTGGCTCTCTGTGCTTTAGAAAACAAACGGCTCTTTGGAAAGACTTCCAAGGTTCTAAAACAGCTGAGGAAGCTGGGTCACAAGCAGGACCCGGTAGCTGCAGGTTCCATTTATATTTGCATACAGAAACAGCCAGAATGTTTGCAAAAAAAGTGAAGTCTCTATATTTTCAAGTACTTGGATGTCACAGGCCTGATAGTGGCCCTGTAGTGACAGTGATTCTCCTTTTCCCAGGTGTTCTATGGTCTGCTGAAGGAGCCTGAAATTGAGGTGCCTTTGGATGATGAGGATGAGGAGGCAGAGAATGAAGAAGGTAAACCCAAGAAGAAGAAACCCAAGAAGGACAGCATGGGGTCAAAGAGCAAGAAACAGGACCCCAATGCTCCAGCACAGAACAGGTATGACAGTTTGTGTGTACAAAGTCTCATAATAAAGCAGTATGTTTGTGACAGGCACGTACTGTCAATGTAGTCCATTAGCAATCATTCCAAGGCCTCGGTCATTTACAGCTTTCAATGTGCATTTTCCCTTCAGTAGATTTTCAATGTAGAATTCCATCAGGTACAAGAATGTTACTGTACAGCAAACCTAGAATTGCTCTTCATAGGTCATAGAAAAGGTCATGGCTGTTTTCCATGGAGGGTTAATGGCAGTAAGCTTTAATTAGTGTTCAACGTTTTTCTCTTTCTGAACATAACACATTGCTATAAAAAACAAACCATGATAGGACATAAAATCATTTTATATTACTAGAATTAACTGTGGCTTGAGGTCCAAAAATTTAAAAATTATGTCTAGGCTATAATTATTGTGTTCTTAAAAAGTTCAGTTAGATTTTTGAGAATTCTAACCCTCAGGGGTAATCGTCCCTGAAACAACTGTCATACCAAACAAATAAGAAAAATGTTTTCTTGTTTCTGTTGTGATTTAGCTCGATTTCTCATTTTAATATTGATTAGAATTCCTCTTCCGGAGCTGAAGGACTCTGATAAGCTGGATAAAATCATGAACATGAAGGAGGCCACCAAACGGGTCCGCCTGGGCCCAGACAACCTGCCATCAATTTGCTTCTACACCTTTCTCAACGCATACCAGGTAAATGAGACGGGGCTGCTCCTGCAGTGTCTCTTCCTGAATCTGCCACCACGTTCTTGCATGTGCCTGAACTCAGACAGTGACAGGACTCACCCATTAAGGTAGTGGAACACAGTTCTAAATTGGTTTTGGTGGTGCGGGTGGAATGGGGATGTTGTATCTACTTTCTAGTGTTTAAGAACTGTTCCTGACCTCTGAAAATCAATTAGGGTCTTGGTGCTAAATCGGTGCGTTAAATTATCCACTCTTAGAGACATAGTCTGAGCCATCAGTTCCACACCATACGAGCAAATATACATCTTCATAATTATACAATAATGATGTCCTTTAGAGGTCTGATCACCTTCAAGGATGGCAGTGCTATCCTGGCTCATGCCTATTCCGCTAAGACGACAGTCCAAAGCTGGAAGTGCTTAAGTATCCCATTTCTGTTTCAGGGTCTTACTGCAGTAGACTTCACTGATGACTCCAGTCTGATCGTGGGGGGCTTTGCTGATTCCACAGTGCGAGTGTGGAGTGTCACGCCGAAGAAACTACGGGGAGTCAAATCAGCAGCCGGTGAGGAATGGAAACACTGGCCTAGAACAGAGCAGAGAAGGAAGGGCTGTTCCAAACAGCTGCCTGATAGACATGACAGACATGACTTAGTCAGCCACAAACAGGCCTTTTGACTGTGCTGTGTTATTATTCTGAATAAAGGTGTATAAGTACATAGACAGATTAATCGCCAAGAGGCAGAAAAATTACTTCTGACGGCAGGCGGAGCGACGTGCCGGTTGGAGTATTTCTCGGTCGCAGTTAATGGCAACGTCAGCTCAAAGATTTGGTTCAAACCACCAAATGGAGACTGGTGTGCCGACAAGCGGACCCTGCTGATGCGGGATTAACGCTAGGAAAGAGAGAGAGACAGAAAAAATACTGTGAATATCTTGCTGTTAGGGGTATAGTGTCCAGTTTGTGAACGTAACAGTCCAATAGAGAAACAATTAATTCATTCTTGATTTAGACCAGTTGATGTTGATTTTTTAGTTTAAAAACATATTTTAATGAAATTACGATATTAAGTGTAGTCATTCTTTGAAAATTTGATGGTGTAGAGTTATAACAAATGAAGTCTCTAGATTTTCTTGGGCTAGAGAAGTTCTAGAGGAGTCTTTTTTTCTGTAGGGGGAAGTCTCTTTCATTTACTGCAAGATTTGGAAATGCTTAAATGTTTGACTGTTTTTTTTCTATGGAGTTATTGATAACTGAACATCTTATTTTATACGTCCATGTTAATTTCTGAGTCTTGAGCAGTTTAGATAAGACTTTATTGATCCCGAAGGGAAATTGATGAATGTTTGTAAGTTGTACAAAAGCATGCACACAGCCTCTCACCTTTTCAATTTTTTAACATTGCGCAGTGTTATGTGTGGTAACCAACTGCTTGTTTTATTCTGACCTGCTTGTAATAATGTGCTGTGCTAAGTATAATTGTGCTAGTGTGACTTCAGTGAGTACAGGCCAGACACAGGAACAGGTAAAGCTTAATTCCACACTAAAAAATAGATAGGAAAAACAACGTTCCAACTGTAGAGGCCTTGTTTAGGTGTCTTCTATTTTTCTGTTTTCGAGAAATTAACCTTAACTATTCCCTGTGCAGCCTTCATACATTGACGCAGCTCCCTGGCGAAACACTAATCAAACAGGCTGTATTGTGTCCTCCTTACAGATCTGAGTCTGATTGATAAAGAGTCAGATGATGTGCTGGAGAGGATAATGGATGAGAAGACCGCCAGTGAGTCCAAGATTTTATATGGCCACAGTGGCCCAGTCTATGGCACCAGCTTCAGCCCTGACAGGTGAGGTGACAGCGCTGCCGCTCCATTCCTCTGCAGGAGGCTCGGGTTTGGATGTCTGGGTGTAGTACTTGTTGTTCTACAGGAAAATGTCTTCATGCTTATTAATTTGGTCTGAAAATCCTAATCTTTTGTAATTGTGTTATATCATGGTCTTAAACCTTTAGTTTAACAATTACTGTCATTTTATAAATGGGTCTTAATATGTAAATGCTTAAGTACCTATTGGAAGAAAGTTGTACAGTGCTCGTGGTGCCCCTTTGACATGAGTACTGGTATTTATAAAACATTCCAGTTGCTGCTGTGGGTTTCTTTCTGCTTTAGCGTATGTATACATATCAGAATGCCCGATTGCCATAAATGTCTTTTTAAGGCTATATGTATTAATTAAGATTTAGATAAGACAGTTTTTTATCTGGAGTTGAAGTGGCCATACTATGCAATATGCGAGAGAGAAGTTACAATCTGGCTACTGTAATTGAATTGAGAACATGAGATGTAAACTAGTACAGTTATGCACATATATATGAGGGCCTTGAGCTCTGACCTTTTAGTTCCAAACTATGTATTGCTTTTCATTCTAAACTTGGATATTATTTCTTTGCAAGTGTATAACATTCAGTTGTCTTTTAGGAACTATCTGTTGTCATGTTCTGAAGATGGCACTGTGAGACTGTGGAGTCTTCAGACCTTCACCTGTCTTGTGGGGTACAAAGGACACAATTACCCTGTATGGGACACACAGTTCTCTCCTTATGGCTACTACTTTGTATCTGGAGGCCATGACCGAGTTGCTAGGTAATAATAATGCTAGTTCTGTTTAATCTTTAAATCTTATAATTATCTCTGTAATAGTTCTCCAAAAGGTGTAGACATGTGTAAATATAACTGAAAAACACTTTTAAGAACACCTTTAAGTCCCTTACTGGTGTTCATTTGGGTTAAAAATCTTTTTTAACCCAAATCTCACCCAAGCTCATTTGAGTAAACATTCTTTCACTGGTGTTTCTAAAGGCTTTGGGCTACAGATCACTACCAGCCTTTAAGGATGTTCGCTGGGCACCTGGCTGATGTCACTTCCACTCGTTTCCACCCCAACTCCAATTACGTTGCCACTGGATCAGCTGATCGAACCATCAGGCTTTGGGATGTTCTGAATGGCAATTGTGTCCGTATCTTCACCGGTCACAAGGTAAGAAATTGTTGTGGGATATTGGTTGTACATTGGACAGAAAAATACTTTGACACAATTTGTACAGGATGTAAATTTTATATTGAAAGCAAACTGTACGTAACACCTACTCTGACTCTGTTTGACTGTAAAGATGAAATCCTATACACGTCTTCATAATAGGCCTGAAACCTTTGGCACATTTATGAGTATCTCAATATGGTGTATAAAAATTAGTTTTGTGGACTTAAACCAAAAGATCACTACTAGTCTGATAATCTGATCAATTTCTTTCATTTCTTTCTAGGGTCCAATACATTCGCTGGCTTTCTCTCCAAATGGCAAGTTTCTGGCATCTGGAGCTACAGATGGAAGAGTGCTGCTATGGGACATTGGCCATGGTCTGATGATTGGCGAACTGAAAGGACACACAGACACTGTCTATGCACTTAAGTTCAGCAGAGATGGAGAGATTCTAGCATCAGGTGAGCTGCTATGCTCTTACCTTTTCACATAGAGGTAAAAAGATTAATCATAAAATGTATCAGCAGTTTCTGTTCTGTAATGTCTGACTTGCTTAAAGCTTTGTATTTACTTTCATTTATATAATGCTTGCTTTTGGGGAAAAAAAGTAAATCATGGGGTAGACTGTAATTGAACTCTTTCTTGGTTTCAGCTGCTGGGTATTAAAGTGATCACGTATGTAGTCTTTTTAGCAGTATTGCTCAAATTTCACTAATTGCTTCTTTTTAATATCTACAGGCTCAATGGATAATACAGTGCGGTTGTGGGATTCTGTGAAAGCTTTTGATGATATAGAGACTGATGATTTCACTGCAGCTACTGGACACATTCATCTGCCTGAAAATTCCCAGGAATTGCTGCTTGGGACCTATATGACCAAATCAACGCCTGTAGTACACCTCCATTTCACACGCAGAAACTTACTTCTTGCTGCAGGAGCCTATAATCCCTAGCAGTGGTTTATTTTTATTTTTTTTTTTGTGTACAACGAACATTGTTTCCTCTGGGGAACTGAAGAGACCAGAGAAATCACTGTAAGAGCTTGTAAAGCTACAATGAAGCAAGTTCCGGTCTACCAGTCTTAAAGATTTGGTGCTTCAAGATTATTCTACAAGATATATATGGCAAACATTTTTCCACCTTTTTCACCATTGTTTCCTGATGTAAATCACAAAGGGTACAACTACTTTTTTGCCACAGATTTTACATTTCCACATATTAGCTGGTTCTTTACTTTCTGAAATTATTTTAAGATTTCCCTAAACTTATACTGGATACACAAGAATCCAATGCAACCTGTACTGGTCATTAAAGGTGCCCCCTTTTTTATAAATATATACCGTCACTGCCAGATGTAACAGATTCTCCCCTCAATGAGGTCAGATTGTGTGTACAGTTTTATACAGGTATATGTAAATAAAACAGTTTTTAATTTCATTTTTATTTATTTTGAACAAGGATAATTCACATTCAGCTGTAGGTTCTGAAGGTTGTTCTTGAGATAAAAACAAATCCATGTTAGTCCTTGCTCTATATAACAGAGCTCAGAGAGGAAAAGACCTGTGGAAAGAATAACACAAAAAAACGTTCAATGTATGATAATGGACACCAATAGGTACTATTGCTGGTAGCAGTTCCAATAGCTACATATGGCCGTCTCTAGCATTTGTAATTATCAGTTTAGCATACACAAAATCAATATTGAACAATTCTTAGTTTTAAGAGTATACCATTAAGCAAAATACATTAAATTGAACAAACTGTTAGGGTAGGGGAAATTGTTTTTTCTAAAATGATTTTACAAAAAATGAATGCATTGATTAAGATGCAAAAGTGAAAGAACATAGCACATGGGAAGAGTGACCACTACTACTAAGATATGGAATGATACCAGTTCAAACATGCAGCCACACAAATAGTCAAGTGAGGAAAATTCAGAAAATATCAGGGAAGGACATTGAACATAAAGAACAACAATTCTAATCTGATTATATCATTTGTTCTATCAAATCACAGTATAATAAATTTATGCTTCCTTCAATTTATAACTGTCTAACACTCTTCAGGAGTAATACAAGTTAATAATAAACATTATGAGAGAAAATTTTCAATATACAGTCAATACTTATAGGAGTCATACTGCTGGTAGCAGTTCCAATAGCTACATATAGCCGTCTCTAGCATTTGTAATTATCAGTTTAGCATACACAAAATCAATATTGAACTTATACAGACATGTTCTCCAAATGCACTTACCACTGATTACTTTTCTGTAACTGCAGGCTTCTGCTTCTTAGGCTTCAGCTTAAAAAACAGGTAGATCCCAGCAAGGCCTGCATAGGTAGCCAGCACACACTAGAAACACAAAATAGAGAGTCAGCTGTGTGGCTCCTTTGGTGTTTTTATAGCTTAGAAGGGAAAAAAAAGAAAATCCCTTCCACTCTACCTGCACATAGTTGCAAACCATGCACCACACACAAGAATCATTAGATGGCATTAGGAGTCTTTGAGTAAGTGGTCTGTTCTGGCCTCCTGTGTTACATGAACCTCATCTTTTAAGATGGATGACATAGATCTCCACCCATTTCATGTTTTCTGCATTGAATATATGGTGAGACCAGTAGCTTTCTGTTCAGAAAGCTCATATTCATACCACTGCAACTTACGAGAGAACACTTATTTGGAAAGGTCACACCTTTGTACCACATTACTTACGTTCCTCCTTCCTGTAATGGTATAAGCATTGAAGTACTTCTGGAAACCAGTGAACTGGTGATGGGTTCCAGCATCGTGCCCGGCCATTGTGCCTTTGGGTCCTTTAATTTAAAGAAAGATGATTAAATAGACAGCAAAAACAGAAGCCCAGGTGCATGGCACAAGTATTTCTACGGACGTCTTTACTCTGGACAGAAAGTTTTCCACATTTAAAAAAAAAAACAGAGTTTGATTTATGCAGCAAAAGACACCAACAAAAGCCTCAAGATTTCCAAAGTTAGAAAAAATCCATTCTTTGCAATTTTCTTGATGCATATCACAAGGTTTTCTTCAACTAATACATGTAAATAATAACAAAAGTCAAGGGAAATTTAAAATAGCTGCATAAGATAAGATCACTTTATTAGCAATATACAATTTCTTGTATTATGAATTTGTCTTTTTTCGCATACCCCAGCTTGATCTCCATGAAATAAACAGACGGGGAGAGAGACGCTTGGGGTCAGAGCACAGGGTCAGCCATTTATACGGCGCCCCTGGAGCAGCTGGAGTTAAGGGCCTTGCTCAGGGACCCAACGGAGTAGGATTCCTCTGCCAGCCGCAGGATACGAACCGGCAACCTTCCAGCCACAGATCCGGCTCTCGTAAAGAGATACTGTAGCTAAGAGCTAGGCCTCACTTTGAAAGGACTAGGGCACAGTTATGTACATGACTCGTGACGTTATATAATATATAATTAAAACTCCCTCTCCATAGTTTTTGCTATGATCAATCCATCAGACAAAACCTACACTAACGAAACCATAAGTAATGTTCCATTATTTAAGATCGCTGCACATTATATGTGACGCTTGTCCTAGCAAGATTTCAAAGTACAGTGTCGTAATTACAGGTATAATTTAACAAAAAAATCTCGCTCTTCTATAAACATAAAAATTCCTTTCCGTATTTTTTTTAAACCTTCAAAAATCGGCATATCCTCACCTTTACTTAATCAGTGCTCCTGGAAGGAAGAGTGCCCTTCAAATACCGTAAAGCAGGAAACAGCTACCCTCATTTATTGGTCTGAATTACGACTGCCGTCTTGTTACATCTAGAAAGGTTCATTGGATAATTTAAATGTCAATCAACTAGTAGCACAGCCTTTTCAGGAGGATAGCTTAAATGTCATTGGTCTAAAGCAATGCCAACTATACAAAGTCTCGTGTTTTATTGGATAGATTGATTAGATCCCACCTTTCTTCTACAGGAAGTACGTATTTGTTTTATTTCGTGCTTTGCAAGACATGGGGTTAGCCACATGTGAGTGAAATACTGAGTTCCACGAGTTGGGGTATAGGTAAGAGAGAATGTTATATCTAGATTACTACACTTTACTGTCTTATCAGAGTTTTGGCATTTGCACGATTTTGTGTTTGCGGTTTAAATAACAATATAACTTCAGCTGATTGGAGGCTCTAGTTCTTTAGAGTATTACGATGAAATGTTTTAGATCTCTACCGAGCTAGAGTACAGATACTAATGTTTTTACATGTAGGATTATAGAACCTTTACGAAATAAAACTAAGAATTGATATTAGTAAATTCGTTCCGTGCAGATGGCCTGTAGTTATAACACAACTGACGGAAGTACAGCTAAAAACTATAGTTCTCAATAACTTGGAGTATCTTCAGAAACAGTTCAGGGTACCCATAGTCCACGAATACTGTTTTAATTCTCCGTACGTTTTTAACAGAAACACTACTGTCCTAATCTTACTCTGTTTCTCGTACCTTCCTCAGAAAAAAAAAATAACATGGCATCAGTGGAAGAGGATTTTCCTCGGGGGGGTAAAGTTAAAAGGGCCGAGGGGAGCCAGCCCGTGAGGAACCATGTGGAGCAAGACAACTTGTTTGAGGTCAGCAAACACTTCCTTTCTCTCCTTGTAGGATGATCTTGTGCCCTTGTGAAGCTGTTTTGCCCTGATCTCTCCAGATCAACCATTTGTGTTCCATTATTGAAGAGAGGCTCTGCAGTGGGCCACAGTCTAGTCCCATGGAATTGGGAATCATGTTTCGTAAGAAGTTGTCGTAACGTAGCAGAAAGTAAACAAGATTTGACAAGCTTCGGTGTCTGTTGTATGGAATAACATTACTTCCCTTCTAGGCAGCAACTATACCTAATCTTACTGGGTAGACATTGGTGTTAGTGGAGCCAAAGTTTTTCAAAGCTAATAACAGCTGTGGTGACCAGCTAAGGAAGGTGCTGTTGCCTTGTCTGGTCTGCACCTCTGGCTTTAGTTTGGTAAACAGCTGAGTCTTGAGGATATGTGCCTGAGGGTGTCATCAAATGAGTTCAGCACCTGTATGCTCCTGAGTTGCCCTGTTTTGGCCTCAGCCAGTAATTTTTTATGTACTGCAGTGACCAGTAGAAATCATCTGAGCTCAGCTTGATGGCCATTACTTGGTACATTTCTGCATTAAGAGACATTTTGCAGGCCTGTTAATGAGCCCGTTGCCCATTTATCAAGGTCTAATTTTAGTCCAGGGTTCCAGATGTCACTGCTTTGCAAGAGAGGATGTGTGCTCCACTGTTTAAATTTGTTCTAGTGTTCTACAGGGGGTTTTATGTGGATGCAGTGCTCCTTGTGCAGGTTATCTGCCTGTGCTTTAATGGTAATATTAAAGTGCCCCCAATGAATGGTTATGCAGGTTTTACCAAGCTCCACAGAAGGCATTTTTATCTCTTGAATCCTCCATTTCAAATTGTTAACCGTTCTGAAGTTTAAATGTTTTCAGAATTTTGGAATATGGACTTTAAGGGTTGGATAAAAAATTTGGTGAAATCTGTGAGGTTTGGATCATTATTTGGCTAATAAGGTGTTTATATACTTTTTGAGGGTATGGAAGAGTGGCACAGTCTTGCACTCCACACTGTGCCTCATCACAGTTTTAGAAGCAATCATCTGAAATTTGAGGTGGAGCCTTTTTGATTCTTCCTCAGTGTTTTGTGGTAGCCAAGTGTTTTTGGTTCCTTTTAGGCCCGTGACCCAGAAGAAGGAAAGAAAAGAAAGAAGAAGAGAACTGAGGAAGAGAAGACATCAAAAAAGCGAATGAACAGGGAGGAGGAAACTCTGAAACTCAATGCATCAAAGAATGTGGAAATTCTGCATTTAAGGGTCAGGGAACACGTTTATATGCTGAAAGTCTGATTTAACTAATTTAAACCTAAGTATTGTTATATGAAATAAACACCTCATTAGTTTGAGCTTGTATTATTATTGTTAGTGGAGGACGTACTGTTCACTTTTATATAATTTCAAAGATCTTAGATGTAAATTTGAATAGATGATAAATAGTAGAAACGCACTACTCCCCACTATGCACTGTATTTAATTATATATTTGCTGTGTGTAAAACTGATATCATAATGATAAAATCTTTAATGTTTATATATTCTAAAAATATTTCTTGTCTGAACAGTTTGAAATGATACTCTACACGAGACTTTGTTTTGTGAATGTCCATAATTTTCAGTCATGCTAATAACTTGTGCGAAATACATGAAAAAACATGAAGTGCTATAAAAATATCAAAGAAGAATTTGCACCAAAGCCCCACATCCTTATAGATTAAAGGGTTTTAAGATGTAAGCAGTAAAGCCCTGTATTTGAAGGATTATTATCAATGTCTAAAGTACAATTTAACAAATTACATTTCTTGCACTTGTCACTAAATCTTAAATTGTGATTGAAGGATATTTTATTCATGCAATGTTGTAGTTAGTTATCATCAGGAATCAGTGCAAGAGACAGGGCTCTAATGCCTATGTTTGCAGTTCTGTCGATCTATAAATGCACACATTGTCCCATTCACTGCATTAGCTTATTCTTTCTTGATAATTGGAGCTGGGTTCTTGAGCTCTGTACGTTTGTCATTTCAGAATGTAACTGTGGGTACTCTGCTACTGGGCTGCGTGAAAGAGGTTAATGATTTTGAGCTGGTGGTCAGCCTTCCCAGTGGCCTGACTGGCTTTGTCCAGATCACCAACATCTCGGACTCATATACCAAACTGCTCAGTGAACAGCTGGATTCAGCCCAGAGCCTGGAGGTGAGCTCAGCTCTCTGTGTGTATGATCCCCATGTTCCTAAAGCCACTAGATTCCCTTATTACTCTTGTTCTGATTACTCTCAACTGTGTCCGTAGGAAACGCTGACCCTTCCACGCCTCTTCCCCCCTGGGATGTTGCTCAGGTGTGTGGTGTCAAGCGTGGAGGTCACTAAAGGAGGTCATCAGAGTCTCAAGCTGTCAGTCAATCCAAGAGAGGTCAATAAGGCTCTGGGTGCTGGATCTCTTAAAGCAGGCATGGTGAGTCTGAAATGGAGAGAGACAAACTGTTACCTGGAAATGCTGAGATAGTTTCAGCTATTTTTTTTTCCCTTTTGTTGTAGTGCTGCATTGTGTTTTCATGATCAAGCACGTTTTTTCAATGAAAAGTAATGGCATTGCTAGTGTTTATGCTGCAGTCATTGTTTTTACTGTGACACGGAACAAAAGACACAGAGTTAATGTCTTATATGCTGCTCCATAAGATATAGTTCAATATATTTTTTCTTATGTAATGTTCCATTCTGTAAGCAAGTAAATAGATATCTAAGAAGACATTTCACGTCAGTCAAGACCTTAGTTCTCTCTAAACCAATTGAATGTGCTCAGACCTTGGTAGAGAAGCACTGCTAAAAGGTTTGCCCTTTTGTTTCAGCTTATCAGTGGCAGTGTGGAGAGTATTGAGGATCATGGCTACCTGGTGGACATTGGTGTTAGTGGAGCCAAAGCTTTTCTACCCAGACAAAAGGCAAAGGATCTACAATTAGAAAGCAAAGGTGATGTAAAACCTCCACTTTGCACACGAATATTCCTTAAAATAATAATTCTAAATGTTTGCTGTTTACTCCACTGCTAAAAAGGGCCCAGCCTGTGTTCTGACCTTATGACCTGGATGTTCCAAGTTTGAATCCGGGTCATGTCACTTGGCACGTGGGACCGAGGACACCAGGCAGCAACATGGTTGAGTGTTGCTAGGCTAGGATGGTCTTAATCTGCTTAGGCCACCCCAGCTTTGAACAAAACAGTGGCTCTTGTGACTTGTCTTGCAAGCTAACAGTGAGTCACGGAGTGGTGCTCCCCTATTCCGAACTCTTCAGTGAGTCACTGTGGAGTTTGCAGCATATCGAACAACAAATGACACTGACGGGAAGGTGTGTGCAGGTTCTTCCCATGCAGTACAAGTATCGTAGCCATAAAGCTGAGCCATAAATCTTTGGTGAGTCCTGATTGTGTGGGTGTAAACTAAAAAATGATTGCATGTTCAAAATTTAAAAAGCATTGGTGTGGCTGGAGCGTTTTTGGGGGATGTTTTTTTTGCCTTTACATTTCAGTATGTATGAAAGCAGGCTGTTACTGAGCATTTAATGGCTCCATTATTAGATGTAACATGGGATCAAAATGCCTTTGAAGAAGGCATTCTTTTATTGTGACCTCTTTGTAAGGGCAGCTGGATATACTGAACCTTTGTGATTTTGTCTTGGCACTCTCTTTTGTTGGTCTTCATTTCCCAGAATACAAACAAAACCAGTCTTTAAAAAAACAACCTGAATTAAAATACCATACAACATGAGCGCATATATTTCATGGTCATCTCAATGAAAAGGAGCACAGTACCTCATCTGAAAGATCGTGTTCCAGCCTGGATTATCCCTGGTGACTGATATTGTTTGCTGGTTTCTACAGTACTAGTTTTAATAATGTAGCTCATAGTGTATATGGTTTCTCACATGGGTATGGGTATAAGATGTCTGTAGCTGAAACAAGGGTGTGTACTTAAAAGTTAGGTATCTGCAACTTAGAATATAATCATACTGTTCTCTGTCATAAAAACCTTATCAATAGATTCTGATTTAGACAAAAGCCCAACACTGCAAAAAAAAAAATAATCAGTTTTGTATATAAAAAACTGCAAAATATTAGTTCATGGAAGCCCTAAGAATAACCGCAGCAATAGTCGTGTGACTTTAAATTTCATCATGTAATATGTGTTGTTTTAATACCTACATTACTGGTAAAATATTGGTGTAATTTATGCTTCCTCGGTTTCTGGGTTGCAGTCATTTCCTATTTTCCTGTTCATTTTCCCACTTCCTATTTAAATTTTCCTATTTAAACAAATTTAATTTGGGGAACAGAAACTGGTCAGTTCTGGTCAATTGCTTCCTTTTACTATTAGTAATACTTACTATTACCTTGAATGTTGTTAATTAACTTTCCCAATTATGCTGTTTTCTGAGTTCAGTGTAAAAGTAGTACCCAGAAAATTGGAGCCACAATGATCACAAATTAAGTGAAAACCCTTGATCATCTCTGCAGCATTGGAGATTTAATGAGAAAAATTGAGAAAAAGTGTCTTGTTTCTTTGAACTCTTAATTCAAATTTAAATCAAAATCTGTTGCTGGAGTCCGAGGGCTCTCTGTAATTTGTGTGCTAGGGTATGCTGTATTAACTGTATCACAGTCATATTTAAATGGTTCCTACTTTTTCAGGAGGCCTTATGGTGGGTCAGTACTTGAATTGCCTGTTGGAGGAGGTGAAAAACGAGGGCCGAATTGTCCGGCTGTCTGTCGGTCCGTCTGAGATTGCTAAGGCCGTAGCTGACACCCAGCAGGGCTGGACACTCAACAGTCTGCTGCCAGGGCTCATAGTCAAAGCCAAAGTTAAAAAGGCAAGTATTACTGAATTGAGGGGTGTTACATCTTGAGAGGAGCTGTTTGACTTCATTGCTGTGTAAAATTTTAAATGTTTTTTTAGAAGCCATCCAGTGACTGCAGTGCTGATTGCCACTGTATATCTTATTATTAAGAAAACAATTTAAGGCTGATGCATCTGGCCAAGGAAAGAGAGGCTCTCATTGTATTGACCTCTGGCTTGATTGAACCAGAGTTTTAAATGTTATAGAAGCTCACAGCTTCCACAAACGTTAAAACATTTCCAGTTACAACATTTAAACCATCATTTTGCTCTGCTTGCTGTAGTGTTTGAGTTAGAGACATGGGTATAATTGGGTTTGGAGTGTTCTGAGCTCCCACAGAATCTCCTGTATTTATTGCCTCTTCATATCTCCTGGTAGGTAGAAGTTTGTTTTTCAGTTACTTGAGTTTGTGAGTCCTCATTGAGCCTTTCCTAATATTTCACTGTTCCTTTCTTGACTGCATGTAAAGGTGACCATTCATGGCCCCATTCTGGAGTTCCTTTCCTCCTTCACTGGCACTGTGGACTTCCTGCACATTGATTCAGAGAAAGCCTCTGACTACACCCCTGGCGACACTGTGAGTAAGGATCTAGACTGAAAGGGTCTAGCCCGTTTTTGTCTACGTTTTCCCAGGATTTTGTCAGTATGCTGTTTGGGAACCTAACCTTTGCCAATTAACTAGCACAATATATTTCCATGTGTGTGTTCATATCCATAAGTCAATTTACATTTATAGTCACAGATAAGTATAGGCATCCTGCATTTCGAACAATGTTATTAAATAATTTAAAAATGTATTCAGTGTATTTATTGCTGTTTACCTAACAGCTCTTTTCAGTATTCCCTGATGACACATTCATTTTAGTATGCAGTAGTTTAATTTAAAAGGAATGGTGTGAATACTTTTCTGCAGCTCTGTGGTAGTCCGTGAAGAGCGAGTTATAAATATTTATTCTTGTCTTCATTTTCTACAAGCCTTAAATTTCTCCAGTGATGCATTTTGTGTATGTTTCTAGCTGAGACTGTTTTTCGCAGCATTGGACATTTATTTTCCATTGTCTAGTCTCCTTTTAAACGGCAACCATTAGCTTTTAATATTTTTCTGCAATCTAGTAAGCCAGCTATTCCCAAGTGTAAGATTTTAACTATTGGTGCTCCTGTTGAAGAGGGTATTCATCTGGCTATTTCTGTTGAACTAGATGGAAAAATAATAAGTAACTGGGAGTCTGCATTCTACAAGAGCAGTGAAATGTTGAAATATGATTGGGGATGCGGGGTTGACATCGGGTTTCTGCCCATCAGAATGCAAATCAATTAAAATTAGAAGATTGAAAAGTATTATTGTCTTGCAATTAAGTCTTTTTTTCTATCAGTTTATAATTAAGAAAAAGAACCATTTAGATAAATTGAAAGAATAATCATATAATCTGAATAATCTGAAAGGAGGCCGGGACAATTCCAGGAGTTGGTAATTCAGCGCAAACCACGCCTATGTTTGAGGGCTGAGTAAGTGTCCCCCTAGAGGGTACTTTGCTGTTACGACTGAGCTGCTGCTACCTCGAGACCTGCCGGTGAGTCTTTGAGCGTCGGGTGACCGTGTGTCCATCGTGTCCTGCAGGTTAAGGCCTGTGTGCTGTACATCGACCCCTCCACAAGGACAGTGGGCCTGAGCCTGCGGCCCCACCTGCTGCACCCAGGCAGCAAGCTGCATACCGTTAGCAACACGCAGATTGGGGAGGTGGTGCAGGACTGCAAGGTGAAATCCTTCCACCAGCACTCGGGAGCCATCCTGAAGCTGCCAGACGGATCTCTTGTTTTTGCACACGTGAGTTGGCCTGTTTCCCTTTGCTAGGACCTGAGCTCAGTGTTCAGAATACTACTGTACATGTTTTCTCTAACCCCAAGCTTCTTGACGCTCTAACCCCAAGCTTCTCTCCCTGTCTGTGTGTCTGTGTCTCATGGAGAGCATGCTGGGGTATGCGAAAAGATGAATTCCTAATGCAAGAAATTGTATATGGCTAATAAAGTGATCTTATCTTATCTCTTATCTTCAAGTACATGGGTCTAAGTAGTTCAAGTCCTAGTATTTCGTGCAGTGTCTAAAAATACTTTTGATTTCATAAGTACACCTCATTATCTTTTAGTAAATTGAAATTTTGTGATATCGGTACCAGTATTAATACACCCAACATAAATTGGATAAGCAACGCTGTAAAATATGTTGCTCAACATGAAATATTGATGTGTATCCATACACGTGTATCCATTATGTGTATAATTCAACCACCAAATCTGAGGAATCAGTAAATGTAGGATATACTTAACGGTATTTCATACTAACATACTTTATTACGTTCTTAACCTGTAGTATCTCAGGGTGTGCCTGATTACATTGGTGCATGCAGACAAGTGAAATATAAACGCAATAGCATTCCCCTTTTGTACAGGAATAAGAATGTTCTGTGTAATGTCTGAGTAACTCAAGCAGGCTAATTGCAATATGCTTTTCATCACAAATGCAAATTCTTGGTGAAAAGATTTGGATTCCAGACAGTGCACAGGGGGACAGCTTCAAAGCAGAACAGCAGGTTCATGTTTGTTCAGTAATCTTGTGTTGTGAAAATACCCCTGGACACAATGGCTCACAGTGTACTTACAAGGTAAAGGTTCAGGAAAACAAAGCTGTGAATTTATTTTTTGGATGAAATGTGTACAATATTGCACCTTGCTCTTAGTAGCTTGTAGGGAGGAATGCGAGGAAAACTGTCAGAATTAAATTGCAAATTAAATGTGTATAAAAATGCCTTAATAAGCAGTTAATATCTTCTGTGTCATCTAAGTATTGCAAATATGTGCAGCAGTTTGGCAAGACTCTTCCAGGATAAGGAGTGCAGTTGCTGCTCTGGCTTTAATTGCTCCACCTGGGGGCAGTAGAGAGTGGTATTGCAAATCTGAGCTTCCTTGAGTGTTCTGAGTTCTGCTTTTACAAAGCTCTTCAGAGATGGTTTTGGTAGAATTAGATAATTCAGTGATTTCTCGGAATATGCCTAACAGGATTTTAGAAATTGGCTGAAGGCAAAAAGGTGCAACATCCTGTAATGGAATGTTACTGAGAAAAAGTGTTTTATCCTAAAAATGTTGTTTACTGACAGAGCTGTGCTGCAGAAGCAGCTGGATACTTAGAACAAAGTGTGATAGCACCCAACTCGTCAAGGGCACGGGATGTTTAATAATGTTTATCTCGGCTGCTTGAAGAAGGGAGTACGAGAAACTATTTGAAAACTGCTCTTCTTTGCTTAAAGTAGAAACCTATAAGGAATGGAAAATTACTGCTTTGCCTGTCCTTGAAGCGTTGCATCAGCTTAAAAAAGATATAAAACAAGGGCTCTCCCTGCTTGCTCTTGAATCAGCTTTCACTTCTCTGCACTGACAGGTGATGGCTTTTTCCCATATTGCAATATGAATAAAGACCCTATTGAGTGAATGAGAATACTTCTCCTGGCTCTTCTTCGATAAAATTCCATGACAATCCTTTCTATTCACAGTAATTTTGAAGGGTATTTTTTCCCTACAGAAAAATCACCTGAAGGAATCGCATGAATCCTTCGACCCCAACCGCACCCTGGCTGGGTCCACTCACACCTGCCGGATCCTGGACTTCAGCCCCCTGGAGCAGATGCTCCTGGTCAGCCTGCGCAAGTGAGTTTACTGCCCTTGGTGTCCAGCTGCCCAGCTCCAGCCAGCTCCTGCTCAGCCTGGAGGCCTGACTGGCAGGAGCTTTCAATCTAACTAATGCATGTGGGCTACAGCTGAACACATGATAACTGCCTTTCCCCTGCAGGAGTGTGATTGAAGCCCCATTCCTCCAGTACCAGGATCTACAGCCTGGACAGCTTGTTACAGTAAGGATATTTTTACATTGTTTCGTCTGAAAAGACAGTTACCCATATTGAATTATAAACTCAGGACAGGGATTTTGAAATATTTTCTTTTTACATTAGCTAAGTAGGAAGATTACTTCTCCAAAACGCACGGTGTGCATGTGTAATGGTTGTAATAAATTAGGCATTAGCTCGCAGAACTGAAATCCATTCCCAGCAAATATTTATAACATCCTATTTAGTTAAGTTTGCTGTACTGTCAAAAAGAAGTAAGGCTTTTTCTTTTTTTTAACTGCTAGGAATTTACAAGGCACCATTTGCATTTCACAAAGGTCTCTGATGTTGTGCAGCCTTGTTCATCTAGGTCAACTGGACGTTCACTGTTGCCCTGGTTACATGACTCCTGGGACGTACACAAATAACGGCTGTGGGCATCGTGGCCGCCACTTCCATGCCCTGTGTTTCTAGCTTGTGGTTGTTGCTCTCTCACAGGGCATAGTGACTTCACTGCACGATTTCGGCATGCTGGTGAAAGTGACAGAGCACATCCGGGGCATGGTTCCACGGACACACCTGGCTGACATTATCCTGAAGAACCCAGAGAAGAAGTACAGGCCTGGGGATGAAGTCAAGTGTCGAGTCAGTCTTCCAAAAACTATTCTTTCTTTTCTGGGTTTTAAGACTTTTAGCTGAGGCTGTCAAAGTCTGCTTTTAGGGCTGAGAGAGATTCAGATTCAGGTTTCTTGTTGTTCAGAACTAAAGGTTTAATCATGAAGCATTACTCAGATATGACAGATGTGGGTTAAAAACTCTTGTTAAAAAAGCAGACAGAAGTTTCATACCCCCTTAGCCCTGTGCATAGACATTGTCCATGAAAGCTTCTCTGAAGGCCGTCTTTGAGGATGGAGTCGTGGCGAGAACCTTTGCTGAACTGAATGCTGGGATGCTGCTGACAACTGTTCAAACGTACACAGTTAGCCTGGAAAGAGCATTTAAAAGTGAAGGGACATTTACCACTGAGAGTGTAGCAATTGTGCTGCCACCTTACTGATCATTGTGTTAAGATATTATTAATCAAATAGTAGATTGTGAAAACCCAAAAGGGTATTTTGGCAAGTTAAGAACGTTCATTCTTTTCGATAGTGCCATAGGAATTCCAGACAATCTTGAATGGTAGTGCTGTTTCTTGGTTCTAGCTCCACTGTGTTTGTGTTTGCTGTCCAGGTTCTCACAGTAGACCCCAAAGTGAAAAATCTTGTGCTAACAAGGAAGAAGACCCTGGTGGAGTCCACCTTGCCTCTGATCTGTACCTATCAAGATGCAAAGCCTGGGCAAATGTCTCACTGCTACATTGTTAGTGTGAAGGACTTTGGCTGTATCGTTCGTTTCTATGGCAACGTCAAGGGCCTGGTTCCTGTTGGTGAGCTCAGCATGGAGCCTAAAGTTATCCCAGAAAAACTTTTCTACGTTGGGCAGGTGAGGCCAGAACTTAATGGATTTATAGGATGTCTATAAATCCTTACACTTACACCCAGTTTTTTTCCCATTGTTTTAAGGGTCTGCACTGGTGTCTCTGAAAAGCAACAAACCAGTCATTTTAATAGAAGTTTGTGAATAGTTAACAAATAGAGATGGCAAAAGCCTTAACAATAACATGGTCCCATTACCATGGACCGGGGTTAAAGATTCCTGATTTTAAATGTTTTTCTAATGTCTGTGCTTGCAAAAGACTCAAGATTTCATTGCAGGGAAATTGCACGTTGGGAAAATTCAAAGTCAATATTTATCCGAGATGCTGTAGTTGTTCACTTTGGCATCTGCAAACCTGCAGTGTCAGACCTCAGTGTTCTCTGTGGCAGGTTGTCAAAGCCAAGGTCATGAAGTGTGACCCTCATCAAGAGAAGCTGCTGTTGTCCTTCAAGGGAGTAGCAGAAGACATTCAAACAGTTCCAGAAGAGAGTTCCTTTGAATATGAAGTTGGAAAGGTAGGAGATATTTCCATCACCCGACAACTTTTAAGTGCTATATATATATCATGTTGAAGGAGACGGAACTGTATCTGAAGATTAAGTCAGATTAACAGTAAGAAGTTTACATTGTTGCTGGGCACGCAGTTTATTCACTCTAAACAAAATGGAAGAAGAACCATTTCCACAGTAGAACAAGGATTGCTAAGCATTAACTGAAAATTCTCTGTATTTTCAGGACCTTTTAAATTTGCATTTTCTGTGTTTTGTGTGGCATAAAATATATACATTTTATATTAATACCAGAGAATAAGAGTCTCATTACATTTCTATCAAACGTTCAATTTTTTCAAGACAGTCTGTTTGTGTGATACAGTCAGCAATAAATCCAATACTGTAGTGTTGAAATTAGGACTAGGGTAGTTTACAATGACTTTTAATCATTTTAAAGCTAAGTGTTGATACAATTTCTGAGTTGTCTACTGATGCAGTTGAATCATTGTTGGCCTGTTTTGTAGACTGTGGAAGCAAGGATTGTCCAGAAGACTGACAGCGGTCTCAAGGTCTCAATTCTCCCTGAAGAAGCAGCTGCATTCCTTCCCACAGTGCACCTCTCTGACCATGTGTCTAACTGCTCACTGCTCTGGGAGGGACTAAGAGAGGGTGACATCATCTCTAATGTTGTGTGCCTCAGCAAGAGCAAGGAACAGATTGTATCCTTTCTACAATTGATGGCAGGCAGTAAAGACTCAATATTTGTTTACCACATTAAACCACAAGGTTCACACTGAATTCAGGGCTGCTTTGTGCACACCCCTAAAGTAGGCTACACAGCCAAATTCTTTTCTTCTTTTAATCTTTGCTTTTCAGTGCATAATTAAGTTCTGTGTGTTTTTAGCTCATGTGCTGATGCAAATTCTCACTCTACCCTTTAGTACAAAAAAGCAAATGAACACTTAAATGGTTAGGGATATAATTGCGATCAAAGTTTCTTCATACATGAAATAAAGACCCCTGCTATTACATTTTAATTACAGAAATGACTTTATACCTTTGTTCCTTCAGGTGTAGTATTATGATGAGAAGGTGTGACTTTGATGTAGGTTCATGACCTGTCATGAAAGAGTAAATTCCTTTAATTTTTTTAAAATTGAATTACAAAAAAATTGAAAGTGAAAATTTCCCCCAAAGTTCAGTATGTTTATGCAATATCGTTTATGTAGCAGCAGAGCTCTTAACACATAACAGAGTACTGCTCTGTTCTTTGAATATGAGTTTACACCACATGGTAGTAGGAGTTTGTGTTAAAACAGAGAAATGTTTCATACCCCCTTAGCCCTGTGCATAGATACTGTCCAAAAAGCCTTCTCTGAAGGCTGTCTTTGAGGATGGAGTCGTGGCCAGAAACTTTGCAGAACTGAATGCTGGGATGCTGCTGGCAGGGTGGATCAAGAACGTCATGTCCTATGGAGTGTTTGTCGAGTTCCCGTATGGATTAGTTGGACTGGCTCCCATATCTGTAAGTGCCTCTGTCAATCTGTAGACTTGAAGTCTAGCAAAATAAGAAAAAAAATCAAAGAAGTGGCAGCTGGATTTTCTAGCTTTTTGTTCTCGATTTGATTTAAATTCTGTTTTACATAATGTCTATGAACACGAAATTCTCACTACCTTCAGAATCAGAAATCCATTTTAAGACATGGTGATGAGTTTCTGGTTTCCTGCCTAGGCGATGAGTGACAAGTTCGTCACAAACACGGGGGACGCCTTCAAGGTAGGGCAGACTGTGGTCGCCAAGGTAACCAACCTGGATGAAGAGAAGCGGCGGTTCCTAGTCACCCTGAAGGTGTCGGAGGTCAGCTTGGAGCGTGAAGAAGCAGCAGCTTTGCTGTCACAGTGTATTCAGGAAAGGAACACTGTGGCCCAAATGATGGCCAACCAAGGTGAGCGGTCAGGAGGATGCCCACTGCTACAGACTGATGCCACAGTGCATGAGGTCAACAGCATGAACCAGGACAGACTGTTCCAATATTGAAGGATTTTGATCTTGTCTCTTAAGTATGAAGTTGGTCTAGTGAAGGCTTTATACGCGGCAGGTATAACTTCTGGTCATGCCGAGACATACCATATAGTTCAAAGTTAAGGTTTTCCCAAACTAAGTACCCGAAAACATTAGTAATTAAGACTTTCTTAATTTAGTCATTTGATCTATTGAAGGCAATTGGGACCTAGTTTGAAAGAATGATGTTGGGGTTCTTAATGTGTATATACTCTGCTGCTGGTTCTGTTTTCAGGCCATTCTGAACTACTGCAGAGTCTCTCCAGCCTGAAGGTTGGGCAGAAGCTGAAACTCACAGTGGATGAAGTAAATGATAATGGGACAGCTACCTTTAAAGCAGACCATCTTAATGGAGTAACCATACTGGCCTCAAAGTATCACTTAACTGGTGAGTTTGAATTTTTTTACACCTTTAATATCTTTCTGCAATAATGTTTCAAATGACATGATAAAAGTGGTTTTTCCTATTCATTATTTATTAGAGCTTCATCTGTTTTAAAGTTTAGGTGGAAATAAAGGAAGAAACTCAGTTCTGTTTACATTTAAATAAGCTTAACTTGTGATGCTAAACATACATCTGTTTTGATCATTTATAGTGATGTTTTCTGCTTCTGTCTGTAACAAGTTTAAGGATATTAAGGAACTGTATTTAATTTTCTGGCATGATTTTTATAAGTGACAGAGGGACATTGAGGGCAGACTCCTGAGGGACGGGAGCTAATTGGAAAAAAATATACCAGATAGAAAATGTAAACCTATGGAAGGTAATAGAAATGTACCTTTACTTTAATAGATGCCACCCTCTCCACCAGCTCTCGTTTTCATTGATGGCTCTGTTGATAATCAAGAGTAGCGTGTGGGGTAGTGGTTAATTTAGCTGCCTCGCAGCACTGGCACCTTGAGGTCAATTCCAGAGCTGGGAAGCAATCTGTGTGGAGTTTGTATGTTCTCCCTGTGTTTGTGTGGGCTTCCTTCAGGTGCTCCGGCTTTCTCCCACAGCCCAAAAACATACTGGCAGGTAAATTGACTTCTGGTAAAACTGGCCCTAGTGTGAGTGTGTGTCTGCTTTTGCGTCTGTCTGCCCCGCAGTGGACTGGTGTCCTGTCCAGGGTGTTCCCTGATTTGTGCCTGTTGCCTGCTGGGATAGGCTCCGGCTCCGGCTCCCCAGCGACTCTGGATGGGAGAGAATCGGGACTCCAGTACCAAATAGTTTAAAGAATAACCCTGGTTCCACTCATCACTCATGGATGGAGAAATCCAGCCATGTAATGGGAAAGAGAGAGTTATAATGACACAGAGTAGGGACTGGAGTTAACATTTTAGAATTTTATAAATGCCCCAGTTTGTTGCAGGAAGGGGCTTTGACAGTCAGGTTGGGGCAGAATTCTGTTTTTCTTCCACTGTTACGAACTCTTCAGATCATCATTCATCACAAAGTTACTGAGTGAGTTGGGGGTGAATATTTTTGGATGAGGTTAGAGCCCGTGGTGACGTACCACATGATCGAATATATTGTAGGCAGGTGTGTGTAAAGGCACTTTGTGGGGGCCTGATGGCCTGTGTGTGTTTATTCCTCCAAGGTGTCACTGTTGTCGAAGGGCAGAAGGTAACCGGAGTGATACTTCATGTGGATTTCCTCACCCGCCAGCTTCACATCTCCCTGTCTCCCCTGCTGGTCTCCAGTAAGTGCAAGGTAAAACCAGACAGGCCTCTTGTTTCTCTCACAGACGTTTCTGGCTTTGTGACAGGTCCCAGTGAAATACTGCATATTGGACTCGGATACGTATGTGTGAAATGATTAAAATAACTACGCTGTTTTTGCGTCCAAGAGCTGCTCCCAAGTTGGCAATTTCCTTTCACTAATCATAATAAAATGAGTTGGAAATAAATTCAAGACGGGTAAATAATTAGTTCATACAAAATGCTTTTGATTCTTCAGTGCCCTTCCTGAATCGCGAAGGAATTAAGCTTCTTAAAATTGTCACTGTTGAGGTGACTAATTGATGACTGCAGCATTTACTGGCTCATTACTGTCCTGCTGCTTCGTGGTCTTGCTTGGCTCCCTAAAAAAGAAATCAAATTATATGCTGCCCATCGTGGTATAGTCTGTGTGACAGTACTTCTCTGTTGCTCTCTTTGACTTGCCAATGCATAGTTCATTTTTTACAGCGCCAAGTTTCTTGGTAGTACTGTTGAAATTCGTATTATCAGCCTCCGAGAGAAATCTTCACACGGATGGTTTACTGTTGATACTAAGCTAAACTGTACCAACTGTTTCCTCCTTAAATCCACATGCAGTAAAATGTGGAAGCTAACGTTTTTCCTTTAATTAATATGCACAAAGCATCTCAGTCACAGTTCAACCAGTTGAGTCAAACCACTAGGAAATTTAATTCCCAAATATATTTTGCTTTATTTTTCTCTACAGTTTTGACTCCTATTCATTGTTGCGTATCTCATATGATATATGTGAAATAGTTATACAATAAGTACCAAATCTTAGAATCTCTAGAGAATGAATAAAGACCAGGGAAGCAATGAAGTTTATTGGTTTCCATGAGTGCACATTCAAGGATCTTCGTTATTTCTTTTTCCAGCTTAAAGCCAATGTAACAATGCCTGCAACACTGCAGTATGTGGAACGGGACTTTGCCGTTATCAGGTTGGGCGAGACTGGCCATCTTACTTTCATCTCTACAAAGACCCATTGGAATGATACGTTCCGCTTTGAGTCTGAGCGGTTGTCTGTGGGCCAGTGCCTCACTGTTACGGTGAAAAAACCCAAATCTGAGGAGCTTGGGGGGTTCCCCTCCGTCACCTGGGTGTCTGGGAAAATAGTGGGCTCCAGACGGGAGCGCAGCCTCTCACAGAGCAAAGATGAGAAGCTCGGTGGCCCCAAGCACCCCTTCAGCTTGGGCGACACGGTGAAAGGTACCATCAAGACCATCAGGCCGCTCAGTGTCCTAGTGGCCTTGGAAGGGGGAATCACCGGCAGCATCCACGTCTCCGAGGTTCTGGAGCAGGTGAAGCCGGGCACGTTCCCTGTGTCTACATTGACGAAGGGCAGCACCGTCACTGCCCGTGTCATCGGGGGAAGAGAAGTCAGGAGTCACAAGTGAGTTTGTTGGTGTATTTTCACGCAACAACACAAACTGCCACCTCACAGATTGCATGTTGCTGCATTTTCTCCCTCAAAAGCTGATACCTCAACAATGCTACGAGTATATTTTTTGTAGTTTTCTTCAGCCCCAGCATTTTCATTATCTCCTCTATGTGATAGTAAGTCAATCGGTAAAATTGTAATTGGCGTTAAAACTTGCTCAGCCACTGCTCACATCTCACCCAGATGGGAACATCAGCAGTGAAGATGAGACCCATATGAGGGTGAAGGAGCTACTTAAAATAAACAACCTTGCTCAGAATTGAAAATCTACTCTGCTATTCACATATTGGGTTACGAAAAACAAACCTTAGTTTCAAATCGAATTTAATGTTACCAGTGACATTTTTAGTTGTTCATTTTATTTAAAGCTAATTACAGTAGCACACTTCATTTTTTAAGTTTGAAAAGCAGTTGGCTTTCTGAAGATTTTTTTTTTCTTTGTTGTAATTAGATTATAGTGTTTACGGCAACAGCAGTTATTAGGTCATGTCTGGATTCCAGTTACGAATGCTGAAACTGCTCTCAAAAACATCTCTGCTTTTTGTGTGCCAGAAGATGATGTATTGTGTGAAAAGATCTTATTCAGAGCTTGTTTTAATAACTTGCAGTTGATCGAATAAGTGATTGCATTTATTTTCTATTTTGAGTGGAATACATACATTATAGCAAAGTATAGAAATATGTCAATTAACAGCATAGCTGTATAACTTAAGTAAGCTGATAATTAAAGTTCTTCTTATGTAGCTAAAGAGATGGAAACTCTTGTTGTGATAAGAGCCCCTGATTGGAGAGACATGAGTTCAAATGCTAAGGTGTACCCCGCTGTTGCATTCTTAAGCACGAGACTTCACTCAGTAAAAGTTCTGCTGTGTAAAGAGAATTTCCAGGTCCTTTTAAATCTGTTATTTTCTTAACTTCTCTGATTAAAATAACATCAATTTACTTTCAAGGATCTGTACCACTAAATTACATGAATTAAACTTCAATAAGTTTCTTTCATTCCTGTAGGTTTTTGCCAATTTCTCATCCAAACTTTACTTTCACGATACCTGAACTGACACTTCTACCAAGGTAAGCCCTCTGAAGTTAAGCATGAGTTTTCATTAAATTTTACAGTCTGTTAGCATGAGCACCAGTGTAAAACATTATGACAAGTTGTTCTCTAAAGGACATCTACTTCATTCAACAGGCATGTATTAGTGATCGGGAGTCAGATGTTTATTGCAGAAATGAAGTTTTGAGATACAGAGATGCAAATCAGACCTCAAATATTGAACTCTACTTGATAATTTCTCAGTTCAGTAATTTGGTATGGGAAATTCTTTCCGTTACACTGGAGAATCCTTAAATACATGCAAACCATTTTGTCTTCTACCCTTTCCTCATTTATTTGCAGGTGTTCACATCTCAGAAATTGAAGTTGCAGTTTTTGTTGAGCTTCTTCTCAGGCCAGGGTCTGTGGAGTTGTGAATTGTTACTAGAACCTCAGTGACTGAGTTTCATGTCCTAAAGGTGCATTTGGCACAGGTGCTGGCTGTTTGGGTTTATGCGAAACTTTTACTCTTAGCTAAGTAAAGACAAAGCCTACTTTGAATTCAAGGGTCTTAAGCACTGGTACAACTTGATAAGCTCATAATTTTTCCACTCAAGCTGGACCAATAACTGGTACTCTCATCTTGGCGTAAGTGTCTTTCTGGGTCCGTTTTCCTTTTTTTTCATTCTTGTACCTGTATTTGTCTGAATCCATTGTCCATGGCATTTTGAGATTCCTAAACTTTTTGTGTGTATTAATGCCCAAAGAGCATGTGTATGTAGCCCTGCTGTCTGTCACCAGCAGGAGAAGACTAATGTTGGTTAGTGGTTTAACTCATTTCAGTTCTAAGTAAGAAGCAGGCACATTAGGCATATTACAACTGATAGAAAATTAAATGTATGTTTTGGATACCATGCTTATACATATTTAGTTCAGGTGGGTAGCTGTGTCAGCATGCATAGGCTACAAAGGAACAAATAATAGGTTTATTCCATGCTGAAAAGAGAAGAGAGAAAATGCAATGTTTCGGCTGTGGAGCCTTCTTCAGGTGTGAGAAAGACAGGACACATAGCAAAGATTAAATAGCACAGGAGAACAAAAGCTGGGAGAGTGGAGGATGCTGGAGCAGGGGAGAGGCAAAAAGAGAAGAGAGGGTGAAGTCGAAACCTGTATGTGAATAGTGAAGATTACACGAAAACAAGTATTTCATTGAGAGAAGGGGGAAGGTGTGAACCAAGTTTTAGGATAATTCTTGTGTCTGATGTCTTTCTGCTATGGGAGTTAAGAGACCCTTCTTTGAGAATGCAGACGGAGAGATCAGTGTGATCATGGCCGCCTGAGGTGAAATGAGAAACTATGGGCTTGGAGAAATCTTTAATCTTCACAACCCTAACATGTTCTCTGAAACGGTCTCCTAGTCACATTCCGGTTTCCCCAACGTAGATAGCTGGGCATTTCCTGCAAGAGATCCAATAAATGAGGTTGCTGGAGGTACTAGAGGTCCCCCGGGTGATCTGGAACTGGCCTGAGGGGCCTTGAATAAATGTGGTGTTAGATATGTATTTGCCGGTGACACAGCGAGCTCTGTTGCAGGGGAAAGTATCTGGTGTGGATGATTGTTGAGGGCGGTCAAGGGAGCTGTGAACAAGAGGTATACATATTTATGCTATCGTGCAGTTAAAATAAAGCCCATGAGATTTTTTTTTTAAATTATAAGCTTCTGCACCTTCTAAATGCAGTTCAGACTGCTCTACAATGCGATCGTAGTTCAATCCCTTGTGCAGTGCAGGATAGTGTTTATTTACAAGTTTGTTTTCATTTGCTGGACCTGTCCTGACAGCAAGATGGAAGGAGACCTGCCAACCCAGGAGGAGCACGCTGAAGCATTGGAAAACTACCAGCCTGGACAGGAGGTCACCTGTTTTGTGTACAAGGTAATAAGGTCAGAGGTGGTGAAGTTCTGCTTCCTTCTTAAAATGTTGTCTGCCATATTGGAGAATCCAAGTTTTTGAGTTTTATGCCAGCATTTATAATCTAAATATAATTAATACTTCTAAAAATATATTTAAGAAAGGTAAAATAAATTGTCAAGGATTTTTGTTAATGATGTTAAGCTTCAAAAACACTTTAGTTAGCAGGCAGATTTTATGTGAATTTGAGAAGGTGAGGCCTTTGGCTCCGAGTCCTTCAGTTGACTGCAATAACTGCTAAAAAGGCACACTGCTGTATTTTCTTCAGAGGTCACCAGTAAAACAAGGGCAGCACAAGAAGATATCTCAGCCTGCACATCCCACAAAACATTTTTCTTGTTTTATTCTTTCTTTTTGAAACCTGCTAAAACATCTCTAGTGACATGATTCAGCTATCAACCCGGAAAAACCTAGGAAACAAAATAACATCCTCCAGATGTTTCTTTTGGAAATTTACTAAGTGCTGATTTGGAGTGGGTGTCAGAAGGAATGCTGTACTTGTTTCCAGCAGGTGTAGTCAGTTTGTGCTTCAGTTGTGTGTTTGTCTTGTGGTTGCGATCAGTACAACACTGTGAAGAAGTGCCTGGAGGTTGACGTGACCCCAGTCCTCGGTGGGAAAGTGGACCTGCTGCTGATGAGCTTGACCCCAAAAGTACGTCGTTTACATGATCTTGAACACTAAGTTGTTTTTCATGCAGACCTGCATCCTTGACCTAGGAGATTAAGTTTAAAAATTAAACAAGACAATTAAGAAAATGTCAGAATGGGATGGGTTAAAGAGACATTCATTTTTTCATATTTAACCCAGTGGTCCAATTGTGTTTTACGCTGGAGTTCTATCAGAAGATCTGACCACCAGCCGTAATTGTTTCAGTGGTATCAGAGTAATATTTCACCACATACGTAAATAATCATACCCTTTAATACATCACTGTATAATGTATTATTGTACTGATTTTACCCTGTGGACCTCTGGTTCTTTTACTTCTTTTGATATTCTAGGAGCTGAAACACCCAGAGAAGTTGTGTAAACTGGGGCAGGCACTGAAAGCTACTGTTGTCAGCACAAGCTCTTGTAAAACAAAGCTGGTTCTCTCTCTCACAGGTGAGGCTGGTCATCTGTATCTTACTGCTGAGTCTGGCTAGATTAGGCACTGTGATAATCTACAGTAATCAGGAATTACTACAGTGATTTTACATGGATACTACATTCACATTCCCCACAGACCTCACGTTCCTATGGTTTATGTTAATGCTCACTTTTTTAAATTCTTATGACCATGCTCTCTGTTTTCATGAGATTTTGTTGTAGCACTCTCTGTAGTTCCCATTGACATCATCCCTTAAATGCTTTTTTCAGAGTGTTGCCTTTTTTTCTCTGACAATGCTGACAGGTATAAGTATGTTTTTTAAGAGACAGTGGCTTTAAAAGGAAGAGGAAATCTATTCAAAATCTAAATAGTATAAATCTAGAACAGGTATGCGTTTAGATAAGGTACTGACCTGTGACTGTGGATGTTATGAAATAACAGCACGTGTGTGTGTGTACATGGTTTTTCCCTAAGAGTGAAATGCCAGTGACTGGTTTGTGATGAACCAAATGGTTTAATCTGGATAAAAACGACTCTAGTCACTGGACCCCATTTGTTTTCTTTGCCAGCCTTCCAGCGTGTTTGAGATGCCTTTCTTTCTGCTTTTAGGTCTCCACAGCTTAACCAACGGATCCATCACTCTAGGCACTGTTGCCAAAATCGTGAAACGCGTCGGCCTTGTTGTGTCCCTGCCTTTCGGGCACACTGGCCGTGTGTCAGTTTTAGACCTCGATGATTGTTACAGGCCCAACCCTCTGGACAGTTATCATGTGGGTCAGGTTGTCAGGTAAGTAGCTAATTTCAGCTTCTGTGTGGTGGTGACTTTGAGGTTCTTTTCCCCCTGGTACTTATTACTGGTCAGGTCTTAGGACTTCTGTGTTCTGCTGCGCTTACAGGTGTGGGTTTATTATTTACGTTTGTTATTTATCCCTGAAAACATGCTCTCTAGGTTTGTTGGCAACTCTAAATTGTTTCTTTCACTTTGGCCCAGCAGTCTACAGGCATCCTATTCAGAGAGGAGAATGTACTCGCAGTCCCACCTTGTGCCGTACACATCTCAAATCTGGGATAGGCTTTGGCTCACTGCTACCCTCAGCAAGCCCAAACCATATCATCCTGAAGCCAAGAGGCTACTGGATAATGAGGGTGCAAGCATCATTGAATGTTAGTTCCAGTGAGAATTTATGCAACTGGAATGCTAATAATTAAGGGGTTAATTAATTGAAATCTAATTAGGTAACTACTTCATCAAAAAAGTAACTGGGACTGGTTGTATATAAAGTAGGTCTTGTTTTTAACTGATATTTATCTCTTTACAAATGTTCCTTTGCATGTATAATGTGTTAAACATCCTATACATTTATAGAACCAGTTTATTTAGTGTTTTATTTACCTTTTTTGTTTAATATTCCTGATTAATATTATACTTGACTCCCATCACACAGGTGCTGCATTGTTGAAAGTGAAGAGAACAAGCTACAGCTGTCTCTCCGGAGGTCCAGGTAGGCGGGAGTGACTCACTTACATTGAGCTTCACCAGAAATCAAAGTTTCCTTCATTTTGACTAAAAAATAACAAGACCATACGTGCGGGCTTAGAAGAGACACAATCAGTGAAGGGCTCTTGTCAGATCACAAGCTGATCCCCGTGACTCAGAATTCCTTGAACAGTGGTGTGCAGCTGGCTGAATGCAGCTGGGATAAGATGAAGTTTGGTTGGCTTCATTTCTCTCAGCTTTCAGTATAGCCCACCAGCTAATGCAAGCTCAAAATATCGTCTGTGAAAAATGTGCCTCTCCTCCATTTTCCTCTCCCGTGACGCACTGTTGAGTTTAAAATGTCGTCTCTGACGAATGTCTATGAGGGTGGATGGGGGTGTCCGCAGTTTGTTTTTTTAAAATTAGGTGGACATTTCGAAGATTTTAAAAAACAGAAAAAAGTTGTTACAAGAGTACGTCAAGGCCTTCATTTTGTGTGGAGTATACATAGTGAATTTTTTTTTTTGTGTCCTCTCCATAAAAGAGTCCTTCAGCAGATTCATATTTTCTTTTACTTTTAAACTGTAAGATGTCTTGTATACATCTAAATTTGTATTTATTTGATTTAATGAAGGAAAAACATGAGAATTGTTTCAGTCTTTCCACTTGCATTTTTTTCTGTGCAGGACAACCCCTGGAAGTAGTCAGGTAGTGAAGGACCCAGAAATCCCCTCCATTGCTGACCTGAAGGAAGGCCAGCGGTTACGTGGCTATGTGACGTCTATTAAAGACTGTGGTGTCTTCATTAGGTATTTTTTTAAATCCTGCACAATTAAGAGATTTTCGTTTTAAAATAGTCATGGACCCATTGCGAGAATAAAATGAGAAAAAAGCTTTCTATGGTTTCATCCCTAGTCATTCTTGTTGAAGCTAATTTTTCAAACCTCATGCATTTTTAATTGAAAGTTGTGTCATGGGCTTTGGTTTGTTACAGCAGAGTGTGAAATGATATAACAAAATAAAGGCAAAGTCTCAAGTTAAAAAGGGGCATCTTTGATTCCCTGAGTTATGTTATAGTGAAAGGGGAACTGCAGTCTCAATTTGTCAGACCAGTCACGAAATTAATTTAGTTTGTGAAAGTACTGTGTGGTCACCGTGTTATCGGGAAAAGTTGTCACCACTGGCAAGAGCAAGAGTTTGTGAGAATTGTGACTTCAGCTGGCCCTTCCTGATCACTAGTCACTGTAATGACAAATCTAATGTGGTGTACGACCGAATAAGCGAAGGTTGCGCAACAAACATTTCCTGCAGAAATGTTCCAATGTAATCTGCATGCAGTGTTAACACCTATGTAGTATTCGCCAGCACAAATGTCTTGATGTCCAGAGCAATATTTCTATTGGATTAAAAGTGATGTATTCACACGCCTGCTTGTTTACAATGTAATGGGGCCTTTTTATAGACAACAATGGCAATATGGTACTGCACATACCTGTAAAATTGTCTATTTTGTGATATACATCTGAAGTTTTACCCATTATCATGTGCATTTCATTGTGGTCTGAAATGCACTCGTCAATGTCGATTTTCTTTCTAACCCTGAAATATAAAAATAGCATTGCAGTGATCCTTGAATATATAAGCATGCTGTTAAGGGAGCAGGGCAGTACAGCACTACAGTAAGGAAGTAGGCCTCTGTTAACTTTAGGGCCTTAGGGCAGTAAGAGGAAATGAAACTGCATGACTGTTTCTCGTGTTTGAAATTCTATGCAAATTCTTTGTCCCTTTTCTTTTTCAGCCTTTCGAGGTCCATCATTGGTCGAGCTCAGTTTCACCATGTCACAAAGCACTTCACGGCTGACCATAGTGTATTTGTGAAACACATTCCCCTGAACTCTCTGCTTACTACCAAGGTCTTGAGGTAAGGCATTGCTCTGGACAAGGTTCCCCTTCCATGGCAATTGTGAAATTGTGAAGTTTTCCCAGTAATATGAATTAGTCATCTTTTTGTAACTCTTAGATAGCATCTAGATATAATTACTGTCTCAGTGCAATATAATTTATTTTTTAGTATTAATAATTCATTTGTTTGAATTATTAACCTTTCAGGTTTGAGGCTTTTGTTTTAAATTAATAGTTAATTTTTAGGTTTACATTTTAAATTAAGCCTTGAGCTATATAAAGGAAATGAATTATCCCAAATGTTGTTGAGTCTCATTTTAAGCCAAATTTCTGTAGCATGCACCTAAATGAACACAATATGCAAGCAATCGTTTACTTCATTTTTTAGTTAGTAGAAAATTAGTATTTTTTATTGCAGTTTTAGACTGCTTAGTATTTTTATGAAAACTCAGGCTTGAGTGTTAACAGATGCTGATGCGTGTTCTCTAAAACTGTTTTTTTTCTGTTCCTGCCTAAGTCTTCGTCTTTCCTTCAGGACTTTGTAAACTTCTCGTCATGCTGTCTCTAAATTTCAGTATGCTGTGAATTACTGGCAGTTTAACCCGACAAGTTTGTGCTGTGGTGTCTGTCTTACAGCATAGACAAAGAAAAGGGTCAAGTGGAACTGTCTTTACTCCCAGAGGACACTGGGGGGCCTGATGTCCTCCCAGAATCCCTGGGTTTGCCACTGCGGATGAAGGTGGAAGAGACGACAGAAGATTCTCAGAAGAAGCGAAAGAGGCAGACTTCCGAGAGTGAGCAGGTGAGGCAAAGCTTCAGGTTGAGGTGGGATTAGGTATTCTGTTCATACCACAGCTATGGAAAATACCAACTGATGAACCCTGGGAAGATCACATTGTTTTTCTGAGACATGTGTTCGTGGTTTGTCACATGAAAAAGTACTTTTTTTTTTGGTTACTGCTGCAGTTTAGACCCTATAAAGATATGTGGATCCTGGATGAGCATAGCTCAGATGCCAACGGATGTGCTGAGAATTTGAGTTAAAAATAAACATGCTTAAATTTAGAAATAGTTTATTGAAAATGAACCTAAAACTTTAACCCCCCAATAATAGAACTTGTCTGCAGTTAGAAAATAATACATAGAAATAATAGAAAAATGTCTGCAGATGAAGGGTCCTAGTTTGTATCAGGACAGTAATATTGGATTTCACAAACATGGTTGTTTGGTTTCCTCTCCTTTCCAGGAGGCAATTGAGAAATCCAAGAAGAAAAAGAAGAAGAAGACGTCAGGAAAATCGGAGGAGAACGACAGTGGAGTGGAGGTCTATTTCCGAGAGGACGAGGAGGAGAATAAAAAGCTACCCTCTAAGGTAATGTGTTCCCCTGTTCTGCAATGTTATATAGCCATAGCAATGGCCTCAAGACCATTAGTTTTGCTATTTGACTTGAGCTACTGGCAACATCTCTCAATAATTACCAGTCCCGTTTACTCCAAACTACGTTTCAAGAACCACACAATTTTAAACACATGCTTGTTCTTTCATCCCTTGGAAGGAACTTCCATCTGGTAGTCCAGACTGAAGGGTACAGCAGTGGTTCCTAATCTGCTCTGGCCAGAAGTAGCCTCTTCAAGCTTTTGTTTTTAATAAGGGTTTTTAAGAATAACTTCATGTTATTCTTCATGTTTGTAAAACCGTATGAGGTGGTGCAATACTGACCTTGGTTATATCTTGTTCTGGCATAGTAGCCCAAACATTTCTTGTGAAAGATCATCTGTGTGCAGAAAGAGTGATAGCCTAAGAAAAATCTGTGGGAAAGTGAATGTTTTTTTTCTGAGAAAGATATCCAGTCCCAACACCATTTAAATGTTGGTGTTTTGTCAGGAATGTTCAGAACTCTGCCAAGCCAATCTTTCTCAATTTCTCCATTGAAGTGTCTACTTTTCCTTTTCCCCTGTCCAGAAGAAGGCCCAGCCTGCTCAGACTGAATGCGTGAGCCCCCAGCGACTCCATGTCTCCAGTGGATTCTCGTGGGACACGGGCCTCAGTACCCTACGGCCAGCCACTGTGGATCCAGTAGCAGATTCTTCCAGTGAGGAAGAGGAGGAAAACACGGAGAAAAAGGCAAGTCACCCCCAGAATTCCATTTTGCCATTGTGAGGTCTGGATGTGTACAGCAACAGGCAGCCAATCCACGTACGTCTTAGCTGTCTAAAGAGGTCCTTATTTTGCTAATGGAACTGAGATTATCT